CGTCTAAGCTGCAACACCCCCCCCCCCTCCCCCTCAACACCCCCCTTGTTTTGTGGTGTGTGGGTGGCAGCATGGTGCGATATTTGCTGGAAGTGAGTGAGGAGGACAGGCAGAAGCGGCGTGAGGAGATCCTCACCACCACGTAAGCCATCATCCCTTTCATCTACCCACCCACCCATCCCCCACCCGTCTCACCTCACTCAACCCTTTTACCCCACCCTCGCCTCTCACCCCACCTTCCCCTTTCACCTCACTCACCCCTTTAACCCCACCCACCGGTCGCACCTGAGGCCACACTTTGTCCCATCCGCCGGTCCATGTGTTCCTTACCCATCAAGTGCAGATTCTGTGTTGGGTACTGCCATGTGCAATGTATCTGTCGCCACTCTGCTGTTCATCAACCCCGTCTCTCCTGTCTCCCCCCGCCAGCAACAAGGACCTGAACTCGTTTGCAGGCTATTTGCAGATAGTGAAGGAGAAGGGTACGGTGGTGGTGGTAGCATCGTCTCTCACACCTTTCTCCGCTACCCTGTCTCTCCTCCCCTCCCCCTCCCCAGCAACAAGGAGCTGAACGAATTTGCAGACTACCTGCAAGCGGTGAAGGGGAAGGGCACGGTGGTGGTGGTGGCATCGCCTGGGGATGTGGAGGCAGCCAACAAGGAGAAGCCAGGATTCCTCTCCACCATCAACGTGCTGTAGCCTGTGGCTGCACTTGATGAGATGCTGCACTTGATGTGGTGCTGCACTTGATGTGGTGCTGCACTTGATGTGGTGCTGCACTTGATGTGGTGCTGCACTTGATGTGGTGCTGCATGGTGCACATGTGGTGATGGGGGATGTGGTGAAAGCTGTTTCAGGTGGTGGTGGTGGCATCGCCTGGGGATGTGGAGACAGCCAACAAGGAGAAGCCAGGGTTTTTGAGTAACAATCAATGTGTTGCAGCTGCATGTGCAGTGGAGTGCCGAGCAGTGATGTGGTGTTATTTCTGCTACGAATTGTAATCTTAATGCAATGAGAGTATGAACTAGGAGTTACCGTAGGCAGTTGACGCACTTTGTTGCACAGCACCGTACATTCACCCATAGTTGCATGAGCAGCAACATCATCTGTGGCTTTTGGAAAGTGTGAGGGAAATAGGGGGTGTGTTAGCCCCGCGCCCACTGCTGGCAACAGTAAAATGTGGAGGCAGGGGAAAGAACGGGGAAAATGGAGGGAGGTGAAGAGCAGTAGTGGATGCATAGTGAAATGAGCACTCATGTGCCTCGTGCTGATCTTCACATAGAAGCCCTGCCCCCACTCCTGCGCGTGGGGTTACAGCAGGAGAGGGAGGGCGGTGAGGCGATGGGAAGAGCAGCAGCAGTGCAAGGGATGTACAACGCAGGAGCACTCATGTGCCTCGTGCTGGTGCCCCTTCACATAGAAGCCCCGCCCCCACTCCTAGCGGGGGTAAGTGGGGAGGGAAGGAGTTTGTTTGCGCTGATCCACCTCTTTTTACCGCTTATGTGAATCTTCCTTTGAGATACTTAAACTCTGGCACTTTATGAACAGCCCGTGGGATGCTTGTGGGGAGGGGAGAAGGGCGGAAGGGAGGGGAGGAGAGGGAACGCTACCTCACTCACTCGCCCTCCCCGCACCACTACCACCCATTCACGTGGGGAAAAAATGAGGTCAGAAGGAGGACAAGAGTAGGTGATTTGGAAAATGCGGGGGAAGGAGTGTAGCCGTATTTGTTCTGATAAGTCGCAGCAGCGAATAGCGAAGCGAGGAACGGTGTACACAGCGTGTGAGGAAGGCCGTGCGGGTTTGCAATGAAGCGGCGGCGACCGACCTAATGCGTTCGCTCGTTACTGTCACATTCGCCAAGGGGAGCGTTCCCAGGGGCAAGGCGGGTTGCGGCGGCTGTTATTGCCAGGGCGGAAAAAATGCTGTTTGCGGCGACTAAGAGCACGCGCGACGCGGCTGCGGGTGCTGTCCAGGTGCGCTGAGAAGAATGGCTGAGATCCGATGAAACTTGGGGTTTCGGGGATGGGAGGGACTGTCGGGGGGAAAGATAATAAAACATGTTCTTTTATCTAGCTGTTGCAAAAGAAGCAAATTACACGTACATTTTTGCTGAGAATGCGCACTGCTTCGGATTGCACAGGACCATACTTCACCGCTTTGACAAGCCAAAACGTGATTTTTGTTCGGCAGAAACCCAACTCGAAGTACACCGCCCCGCCCCCTCCTCCCCGCACCGCCCCGTACCACTGTAAAAATCGGCTTTCTTCCCATCCATATCACCACCACACTGCCAGATCCAGAAAGGACCCGCCTCGAAGTTAGTACGCCATATCCACGCAAGCACGACACCTTCAATGGCTCGTGACGAGCAGCATCCCGCAATGCTGCCTGTCGAATCCACTTGTTTTCACTTTCCGAAGCTCACTTTGCAAGCACGGAACAGATCTACGAACCGATCTGCCCGCATACTATCGCCTTGCTATCCGTGGGCACAAGCTACCTGTTTTGTCGTATTGCTACCTGTTTATAGTTCATCGGAACGACTTTCACGGTACGATTTAGTGCGTGCGTGTGTCGGTGAGCGCATGCGTGTGTCAGTGCGTCATAGGCTCTACGAACATTTCGCCTTGCTCTACGAACATATCGCCTTGCTCTACGAACATTTCGCCTTGCTCTACGAACATATCGCCTTGCTCTACGAACATTTCGCCTTGCTCTACGAACATATCGCCTTGCTCTACGAACATATCGCCTTGCTCTACGAACATTTCGCCTTGCTCTACGAACATTTCGCCTCGGTTACGTCTGTCGGGGTCTGCTGCACGCTTGGTGTGCAAGCATGGCATGGCTTGGCTTTGCGTGGCAGGGGCTGGGGCTGGATGGGGTGGGAACAGCGTGGCGTGGCGTGGCGTGGCTGGGGAAAAAACATTTTTCAAAAAAAAGAATCATTCTTTTTACACTTCATCTTAATCTGCCCATGATTCTTTACATCCTGCCGCATGCACACCCTATAACTCCCTGCCCTGCAGATATCAACCACTCTGCCGCTCCCCTTGCTCCAGCTATCTGCAGCAGTTCAAACTCCACCACCAGCCGCAGCACCCGCAGTACCAGCGGCGGCAACAGCACCACTTGCGCCACCGGCAACTCGTACAACACCATGAGCGACAACGGAAGGCCCCCTACCGAGTTCTCTACCCCCAGCAGCAACTTCAGAAGGCCTTCTACTGAGTTTCTTACCCCCAGCAGCAGCTTCAGAAGGCGTTCTCCTAGGTTCTTTACCCCCAGCAGCACTTTTCCTGGTTCTTTTGTCTCACGTGCTGAGCAGTCAGGGAGGCATGCTGGGCTCCTGGCGCAGCACTCAGGGCAGCGGCGGCGCCTCTCATTCAGAGAGCAGCCGGAAATGAACGATGTGGAGGAGGGCAGCGAGCGGGATGGGGCCGAAGGGGCAAGGGCAGGGGCAGGGGGGGAGGAAACGGAAAGGGGAGGAAGACGGGGAGAGGAAGGGGGAGAGGAGCAGGAAGAGTATGGCAAAGACGAAGGGGCAGGAGAGGGGGGACAGGGAGGGGGAGGGGGAGGAGGAGGGGGAGAGGAGGTTGGAAGGGAAAGGGGGGGGAGTTGCAGGGGGAGTGGGAGGGGGAGAGATAGATATTCGATTGGAGCAGAAGAACGCTGAGATCAGGGCATTGACTGCGGAGCGAGACCATTTTCGAAAGGTAGGCTCACTGGGGGGGGGAAGGGTGGTGGGCGGGCTAAGGAATCTATCAACAATCAAGCATGTGCGTGTTTTTCAACTGCAGTCACTGCCAGCACCCACCCAGCACCCACCCAGCACCCACCCAGCAAAGCACCCACCCAACCCACCCAGCACCCACTTAGCACCCACCCAACCCACCCAGCACCCGCTTAGCACCCACCCAACCCACCCAGCACCCGCTTAGCACCCAACCCTCTGGGGAACTGGAACTTGTAAGTCAAAAGCAAGAACTCCATAGTATTTTCTCGAGGCAACGGCCGCTGTAAGTGGTGTGGTATGTCACGCTGTAAGTGTTGTGGTATGTCACGCTGTAAGAGGTGTGGTATGTCACGCTGTAAGTGTTGTGGTATGTCACGCTGTAAGAGGTGTGGTGTGGTCACGCACCTGCTGCCCCGTGCCCCCGAATTTACTGGGGAGCCAGCGGGCTAAGAGTGACGGAGGCACCTTGAGGGGCCAGGGCCGGCTCTGCTGCTCTGAGCTCTCTCGTCTCTCTCTCTCTCTCTCTCTCTCTCTCTCTCTCTCTCTCTCTCTCTCTCTCTCTCTCTCTCTCTCTCTCTTTCTCTCTCCAGTTGTTTAGGGACCTAGGACTCGCGGTTCCGCCATCCGGGGCAGGAGATGGGGGTGAGGGAGGGGAGGGGGAGGGGGAGGGGGAGGGGAGGGGGAGGGGGGGGGCGGAGGAGAAGAGGGGGCGGGAGGGAGAGGAGGAGGGAGCGGGGAAGGGGGGGAGGGGGTTGGAGGGGGAGAGGGTTTCGGTGGTATTGTCGGGTGCACGTACGAGCTTAAACCGTATAGGATTAGGATACGGGATGCAGATAATATACGGCAGGAGGTGGGTCATTTCGAGTTCCACGGCACGGCTGGCATGGCGTCGGAGGTATCACGGTTGGTTTTCGGGGTGGGAGTTCCTGAACTCCTGCACAGGTCGCCGTGGTGTCTCAGATTAGGAAGAAGCCCGAAAGCATGAAATGGTGGGAGGTGGTGGACATCGTGTCAAACGGTTCAAAAGATCAGATTAAACGGCTGATTGACCAAAGCAAGAAAGTGCCGAGGAGAGGGGAAAGGAAGAGAGCAAGAGGGGCAGATGAGGAAGGCAGGTCTGGAGGGGGGAGCAAGCGGGCGAGGCGAGCAGGGGGTCGAGCAGGGGGGCGAGCAGGGGGGCGAGCAGGGGGGCAGCAGGCGGGAGAGCAGGGGGGCGAGCAGGGGGTCGAGCAGGGGGGTGAGCAGAGGGGCAGCAGGGGGGCTAGCAGGGGGGCAGCAAGGGGGCGAGCAGGGGGGAGAGCAGGGAGGATAGCAGGGAGAGCAAGTGGGAGAGCAGGTGGGAGAGCAGGTGGGAGAGCAGGTGGGAGAGCAGGTGGGAGAGCAGGGGGGCGAGCAGGTGGGAGAGCAGGTGGGAGAGCAGGTGGGAGAGCAGGTGGGAGAGCAGGTGGGAGAGCAGGTGGGAGAGCAGGTGGGAGAGCAGGTGGGAGAGCAGGTGGGAGAGCAGGTGGGAGAGCAGGGGGGCGAGCAGGTGGGAGAGCAGGTGGGAGAGCAGGTGGGAGAGCAGGTGGGAGAGCAGGGGGGCGAGCAGGTGGGAGAGCAGGTGGGAGAGCAGGTGGGAGAGCAGGTGGGAGAGCAGGTGGGAGAGCAGGTGGGAGAGCAGGTGGGAGAGCAGGTGGGAGAGCAGGTGGGAGAGCAGGTGGGAGAGCAGGGGGGCGAGCAGGTGGGAGAGCAGGTGGGAGAGCAGGTGGGAGAGCAGGTGGGAGAGCAGGTGGGAGAGCAGGTGGGAGAGCAGGTGGGAGAGCAGGTGGGAGAGCAGGTGGGAGAGCAGGGGGGCGAGCAGGTGGGAGAGCAGGTGGGAGAGCAGGTGGGAGAGCAGGTGGGAGAGCAGGGGGGCGAGCAGGTGGGAGAGCAGGTGGGAGAGCAGGTGGGAGAGCAGGTGGGAGAGCAGGTGGGAGAGCAGGTGGGAGAGCAGGTGGGAGAGCAGGTGGGAGAGCAGGTGGGAGAGCAGGGGGGCGAGCAGGTGGGAGAGCAGGTGGGAGAGCAGGTGGGAGAGCAGGTGGGAGAGCAGGTGGGAGAGCAGGGGGGCGAGCAGGTGGGAGAGCAGGTGGGAGAGCAGGTGGGAGAGCAGGTGGGAGAGCAGGTGGGAGAGCAGGTGGGAGAGCAGGTGGGAGAGCAGGTGGGAGAGCAGGTGGGAGAGCAGGGGGGCGAGCAGGGGGGAGAGCAGGGGGGCGAGCAGGGAGGCGAGCAGGGGGACGAGCAGGGGGGCAGCATGGGGAGTCAGCAGGGGGGCGAGCAGGGGGGCGAGGCGAGTAGGGGAGTGAGCAGGGGGCCAGCAGGGGGCTGCGGGGTTGCAGAAGAGCATGGGCTCTGAGCCGGGGATGTATGGGTATGTTTGCCTGCTACGGTGCGTGTTGGCTGCGTCACACCCCCTGTGCCATGGCTGCCAGTGCAGCCGCTGCCACGCTGTTCAGGGGAGGGGAGGATGGCTTGTGCATGAAGGGGGAAGTCGTCCCCATGAAAGTGTAATTTGTGGTTGACTGATGTGGTGGCTGGGTTCATTTGGAAACCTACATGGGTTCTATGGAAAACTGATTGCATTTGATGTGTGATATTGACTTGTACAATTGTAGTCTTGCCTAGTTGCTCGTGTGTCTGGAAAGCCTTTGTGAATTTCCATATTGCACCTTTAGGTTGCGGTCAGTAGCTGTGACAGATTTGGAGTGCTAATGCACTACATTCCCTAGGCAGCTGGTCAAACTGGCTCATATGATGGACATATTCAACTTACCGTAGAATCCAACAATAGCATGGCTTTGCAGGAAGAGTCTTTCAGTAATTTAGTTTAGTAGTTCAGTAACAAGCGGGTGCCCTTATAGTCACATCACGTCTATCACTCCTACTAGGGCGCCACTATGCTTATCCCCGGACCTGACATGAGAGTATACTCGAAATCACTTACCCTTGCCCCCAATCAGCCCGCCGTGAGCAAGAAAGAAGGGCGCCAGCACCAGCAACTCAACAACCATCTTATTGACCAAATGCCCCATACAACCAGGACACACTCCAATTTGCCCCTCCAAACTGCCTCACCCTCCCCTCATTCCCCTCCCCTCACTTGGACTAGGCCCAAATCAACCCGCCGTGTGCCACAAAGAAGGGCGCCAGCACCAGCGACTCAACGGCCATCAGCTTGATACGAATATTCAACGACGGCCCAGATGTATCCTGGAGCGGATTACCCACAGTATCAGCCTCAACCACCCCCTCACTTGGACTTGCCCCAAATCAACCCGCCATGCGCCACAAAGAAAGGCGCCAGAACCAGCGATTCAACGGCCATCAGCTTGATGAGAATATTCAGCGACGGCCCAGATGTATCCTTGAGCGGATCACCCACCGTATCCCCGATCACCGCTGCCTTGTGCGCCTCTGACCCCTTGGGCCCCAGCGACTGCGCATGCTCCGACATCCCCGCTTCGATGTACTTCTTCGCGTTGTCCCACGCGCCGCCCGTGTTGCTCGCCGATACCGCCATCTGCACCCCCGACACCAGCGCCCCTGCTAGCAGCCCTGCGAGCGTCGCCGTCCCGAAGAGAGTCCCGGTGATGATGGGCGAGAGCAGCACGAGCGCGCCAGGTGGCAGCATCTCATTGAGCGAGGCCTTGGTGGAGATGTGCACGCACTTGCGGTAGTCGGGGCGCGCGGTACCCTCCATGAGGCCCGGGATGGTGTCAAACTGCCGCCGCACCTCGTCCACCATGGCTAGAGCTGCCTTGCCCACGCTCTTCATGGTCATGGCGCTGAACCAATAGGGCAGCATGGCGCCTACGAGCAGGCCTACAAAGGTCTGGGGGAACGGGGGATGTGGGCAGTGGGGAACGGGGGAGAAGGGCAGTGGGGAAAGTGGGAAGGGAAGTGGGGAAGATGGGGGAATGGAGTGAATGGAGTGAGGTTTCAGAGGGACGGGCGGTGCCCTCCATGAGGCCCGGGATGGTGTCAAACTGCCTCCGCACCTCGTCCACCATGGCCAGGGCTGCCTTGCCCACGCTCTTCATGGTCATGGCACTGAACCAGTACGGCAGCATGGCGCCCACCAGTAGTCCAACGAAGGTCTGTGGGTACAAGGGTTAGGTGGGCAACGGGGGAGGGAGAGTGAGTTGCCTTGCCGACGCTCTTCATGGTCATGGTGCTGAACCAGTATGGCAGCATGGCGCCCAGTGTGCACTGTGCATGTGAGGTTGGCAAGGAATGGAGAGAAGTTGCAGGGTGTGCGTGTGGTGAGAGTCTGTAAGGGGGCCTAGAAGCAGTGAGGGGTGGTGGTGGTGAGGCGTGAGCGGTGGTGACATGCGCACACAGGGATTGGTGAGGAGCATGGTGATGACCCTGGCACATGGTCATGATGAGGAGAGAAACTTGTGAAATCGAGAAGCATTGAGGTGGATGAAGGGATGTGTGCCCCTCACGCACCTGGGGGTTGGTGATGAGGATGTTGGTGACCTGTGCTCGGCTCACATATGCTCCAAACAGGGCAAGTGACACCAATGCTGCTGACCCGATGGCAAAGCCCTGCAGGCAATGGGGCAATGGGGGAAGAGGGGGATGGCATCACACGGAAGGTAGGGGGAGTTCGGAAGGGGAAGTGATGGTGGTGGTACCAAGATGGAAGAGTGTAGTGAAATGGTAATGGGGCAGTGGCATGGGGATATGTAGTGAGACGGGGAGGGGGTATCGAGATGAGGGCAAGGAAATTCAACTCCCACACACGCACCTTGCCAATGGCAGCACTGGTGTTCCCAGCAGAGTCCAGCGCATCAGTCCTCTCCCTCACATCCGCCCCAAGCCCCTCTGTAGGGAGAAGGGTATGCACTAAGACTCAGGCTCATTCCCATCAACGCACCTTGCCAATGGCAGCAGTGGTGTTCCCAGCAGAGTCCAACGCATCAGTCCTCTCCCTCACGTCCGCCCCAAGCCCCGCCATCTCCGCAATCCCCCCGGCATTGTCCAAGATCGGCCCATACGCGTCGATAGCGAGCCCGGTGGCGAGTGTGGAGAGCATGCCCAGGGCGGCCCACCCCCAGCCCCTCACATCCGCCCCCAGCCCCTCTGTAACGAGGGGGTAAGCCACTAAAACTCCCTCTCAGACACACGCACCTTGCCAATGGCCGCAGTCGTGTTCCCAGCAGAGTCCAGCGCATCAGTCCGCTCCCTCACATCCGCACCCAGCCCGGCCATCTCCGCAATCCCCCCGGCATTGTCTGAAATCGGCCCGTACGCGTCGATAGCGAGCCCGGTGGCGAGTGTGGAGAGCATGCCCAGGGCGGCCAGGGCGACCCCATACATGGCAGCGATGGCGTAGCTGAGGTAGATGGCCACTGCGATGGCGAACACGGGTACTATGACGGATTTGTAACCCAAAGCGAGACCGAAGATGATGTTGGTCGCTGCCCCCGTGCGGCACGAGTCTGCTACGTCCCTTACAGGGCTGTTGGGGGGAGTGGGGATTGGGACGGGAGAGAGGGAGGAGGGGAGAGGGAGGAGGGTGGGGGAGAGTGTGAGCGTGGAGAGCATGCCCAGGGCGGCCAGGGCGACCCCGTACATGGCGGCGATGGCGTAGCTGAGGTAGATGGCCACTGCGATGGCGAAGGCAGGTACTATGACTGACTTGTAGCCCAGGGCTAGCCCAAAGATGATGTTGGTCGCTGCTCCCGTGCGGCACGAGTCTGCTACATCTCTTACAGGGCTGTTAGGGGAGGCGGGAAGGGTTGAGCGCAGAGGACGGGTCGGGCATGGGGGTGGGGCGAGTGGGAGAGGAAGGCAAGGGAGGGGTGAGGGGTGGAGGGACAGTGGGAGAGGGGAGAAGGGAATGAGCAGAATGGGATACTGAACAGGGTGTGAGCACCGCAAGTAACACTCACGAGTAAGCGTGGCTGGTGAAGTACTCAGTGACATATCCAATCAGCAGCCCGCCCCACAGCCCCGAGGCCACACAGAAGAAGATCTGCCAGTTCTGCGCCGTCTTGTCCGCCTCCTCGCCCGCCACCACAATGGTAAACGACGAGGGCAGTGCGAGATAACACAGCCCCAGCACGAGAGGAGTCATGAGCACGGTGCTGATGAGCAGCTGCGCCTTGAGCTGCGGTTCTACATGTCTGGCTTCGGTGACGTGGAACCAGTCGGTGGCAAAGAGCGTGGTGAAGAGGCACACGAGGATGCCGAGCGCGGAGACGAGGAGGGGGAAGCACATGGCGGTGAAGTTGTGCGTCTGGCCCAGGGAGGAGATGGAGGCAATGACTAGGGCTGCGCAGGTGGACTCGGCGAAGGATCCGAAGAGGTCGGAGCCCATGCCTGCTATGTCTCCGACGTTATCACCCACATTGTCTGCGATAACCTGGTGTGCGGACCAGGAGGGGAGGGGAGAGGTGGGAGGGGAAAGGGGAGTGGGGAGAGAATAATGAGTGAAGCGTGCATGGGGTGGAGCCGAAGAGGTCTGAGCCCATGCCTGCTATGTCCCCAACATTGTCGTCCACATTGTCTGTGATAACCTTCGCAGGAAGCACGTGTGGGAACGCATGGAAAGGGGAGGATGGAGGGGGGACGTTGGATGCCTAAGTTTCGTTTTGTCTCATGCCATTTTGCAACTTGGTTCTCACACTGAATCCCATTGCCGTTACGCAGGCCGTTCTTTCCCACCTCCCTAGTGCCTCAAAACAACCACCCACCAGGCCTACACCTCATCCACTCACCGCTGGGTTCCTCGGGTCGTCTTCCGGAATATTCCGCTCCACCTTCCCCACCAGATCCGCACCCACGTCCGCCGCCTTGATGTAGATTCCCCCGCCCACGCGCCCGAACAGAGCCACGCTGGACCCGCCCAGCCCGTACGGTCATGCCCTTGATGACCTCAATACTCACCGCTGGGTTCCTTGGGTCGTCTTCAGGGATATTCCGCTCCACCTTCCCCACCAGATCCGCACCCACGTCCGCCGCCTTGGTGTAGATCCCTCCGCCCACGCGCCCGAACAGCGCGACGCTGGAGCCGCCCAGCCCGTACCCCGTGATGGTCTCGAAGAGCGACGCCCAGTCGTTGCCGTAGTAGAGGCGGAAGAGCACGATGGTGATGAACAGCACGATCAGCCCGTTGGCTGCGAGAAGGAAGCCCATTACTGCGCCTGACCGGAAGGCCACCACGAACGCTGGCCCGATTCCCCGCCGCGCTTCTACTGTCGTGCGCGCGTTGGCATCTGTGTGGGGTGGGAGAGGTGGGGGCGTTTGGGAAGGGGGGGGGAATGAGGGAGGGAGGGATGAAGGTGTCGCCGTAGTAGAGGCGGAAGAGCACGATGGTGATGAACAGCACGATCAGCCCGTTGGCGGCGAGCAGGAAGCCCATCACTGCGCCTGAACGGAAGGCCACCACGAACGCTGGCCCGATTCCGCGCCGTGCCTCCACTGTCGTGCGCGCATTTGCGTCTGGGGGAGGACGACGGGCGATTGCGTAATGGGAGCGAGGGAGAGAAGAAGTTGGAGTTCAAGTGGAAGGATGAGAAGCGGTGGAAAGGGAAGGAAAAGGGGGAAGGGAAGTCAATCGGCCTCATCTAAACAGCCCTAGAATGTCGATGCGAGAGCGCCGAAAATAATCGCGACTGTGGCGAACACAGTGTCAGGAGCGAAGGAATACCGAGGTGGAGACACAGAGAGCGAGAGAGGGAATAAAAGAGAAAGGGAATCACGTAAAGTGGCGCACATGTCGCGATCTTCATTCCCAGGTATCCCGACAGGGTCGATGTGAGCGCGCCGAGAATAAACGCGACAGTGGTGAAGAATGCGTTGGCGAGCGAGGGCGCGCAGAGCTGCGAGGGGTTGTCCGGGCAGGGCTGCCACGCCGTGCTGAAGGTGTTGACGGAGCCGAGGAAGAGGAAGACGAGCACGCTGAAGAACGCCATGAATGCCGCTAAGTACTTGTACTCCGTCGCTAGGAACGACGACGCGCCTGTGGGAGGGAGGGAGTGAGGGGGAAATGGAGGGGAAGGGGATGGCATGGGAGAGTTTTGCGAAAGGACGAGGAAAAGCGACATGGAGAGACCGCATAGATGAAACGGGGGGGTGCAACGCATTATTGATATGTTGCAAATTCGACATTGATGAGCACCATGAGCGGACTCGCCACAAGGAATGGTGGTGGTGGTGAGCAGCGTATAATAACGGTGTATTTTGTTGATACAAGGTGAAATGGCCAATAGCATGTACATGCGCGGATTCATATTTTTAGGGAATGCTGTGAAGTGTTATTTTCTGTTGCACGTCATGCAACACCCCGTTAGTTAGCCCGGCAATACCAGGGAGAGTAAGGCTATGTAACGTTACATGAACAGCCTGACACACGGGAGCAGTAAAAGTGCGACCTTGCTGAAAAATAGCTATGGGGCATTCAGTCTTATTCGGCCTAATATACTATGCATCGGCTAGTCAACCGTCATAGACTTTCAAAAGCCTTACGCACATCTTGAAACGTACCTATCCTATCCGGACGTACGCACCCGTTGAGATGGCATATTGTATCTCCGCGATCTGTTGGTCCACGTTATCCGCTTGTCCATCCTCCAAGCCATACACGCTCAACGGCGCTGTCAGCTTGACCCGGCTCACGACACCCCATTGGTAGAGAGCGAACGCTATGCCTAGAGCCGCCGACATTGGAATAAAAATGTCTACAAACGTCTCGCCTAATGTGGTCTCCATGTTCCAAGTCTCTGCGATTACTCCAGTAATCGCCTCTGACATGAATAATGCTGAGCGTGACGCATAAAAGTACGGCCTAAAGACTTCCTACGTGACAGCAGACTGAGATGGAAGAAACTGGTCTCAATGCCTTGGATTTGGAAAGCTAACTAGCCAGCCCTTAGTGAGAAAATGAGAGCCAGGGGTAAGGACACCAATAATTATATTCAACAGTCTGGCTGGAAGAATCCCGCCCTTTCCTGGCCATTCAAGGACTCGCGCAAAAAGCGGGTTCCGAACTCGTCGGACCACTCTGCCTAGCACAGAACCGCATGGTAAAGCACTGAACCGCACAAAGAAAACAGAAAACACATTCCACGAGGTAATCTCGAAGATCCAATAGTTTGAAATTATTGAACATGTCACTTCAAACCCCGTCCACCATCCGATCAGGTTCTTTGGACGACTAGATGTGCCTGCTGTCCCAAGACGAACCTAGAGCTGTGGCTGCCGTGCTCTGCCGTCAGATCTGTGACCACCTGACCTGACCTCACCTGAGCCCAGCATTCTATTTCGTCAAATCCTGACAACCAGCCAGGAGGTCCGCTGGTTTGGCGGAGGGGAAACCTGGGTGTTGGGAAACTCACATGGTCGACTATGCGGTATGAGGTGCTCCTTACATTGGAGTATTGAAGCTAAATTAAAATAGAATATCTTTAAAAGTCATAACTCAATATCACAGAATGATTAGAACTCCCATCATGATAGAATACCATAAATGCTAGCAACTATTCTTAAATATTCAAAGTGATATTATTTCAAAGTATTTACAAGTAAGTAGGTGAGTCATGATCAAATAAAAAAAAAAAACGGTGCATGCATGCATTCACAAACAATGAAGCTAGCATTCATCAATGTGTAATTTGTGGATATACTTCACCTTCTGGACTAGGAAATTTATGTACATTTAGAGAATCTGTGGTGGAGCAGATCTCCATAATTTGTGGAGGAATCGGCTTTCGTTTCGGTTCTTACTGGTCAAAGCCCCTGAATCTCGCTGATTCAAAATGCGCGCCGAGTTTGCTGATCTTCCCAACAGCGGATCAGCAGCTCCAGTGACGCTGGCGGCGAGAGGCTTGAGCGACATCGCCTTGTGCTAGCGTCGGCGCCGCGGACCTTGGAGAGCATTTTCTCTCCAAAGCTCCAGTGCCACGTAAGAGCTGGGCCATTCTCTTTACACCACGTGTATCACCAAGTGGAGAAAGCAACCTCCCCTCTGACTGGTCACTCACCTGCCTGGCCTAGCTGGCACGGACAGAACACCCCACATCAACGCAGCCCCTTGCTGCGACAGAAGCATCCTGCGAAGTGTACGTCCCACGACGAACGCAGCGATTGGCTCGCAATAAAATTTGTGTGCGACATTCCAATCAGGCACATCCGTCGAATCCACAGGCGACGATTTTTCCGGCGCATCCGTGCGATTCAGCTCTTCGTCCAAATGTGATTCCTCCTCCCGCATCGCCATTCCCCTTCATAAATCAAATTCAGTCCGCAGAAAGCCACACACTGAGGAATTCATCTTGCGAAAGAACTGGTTTTAGCCCCAGATTCACCAGCTTGATGGTTTCTTGAAGCGCTTTGGACCTCTCGTCCTCGTCAAGTGCTCCGTGCATTAGTGTATGAAGTACCTCTGATCGTTTTTCTCTTGATCCCCTTCAGCGGGAGCCGCCGGGCTAATTGGATTCTGGCCACTACGGTTTGGCAAATCTCAACCGGTGAAATCCATACGTAACCTAGTAACCATGGAGGTCCTACTTTTCATCACCGTCATCGCGTTTCTCTCGATCCCAACACTCGCATTGGACAACTCAGTCTCCTCAGAAGCGATTCTCGCCAGGCGCGGGCAACAGGACAACTACATTCGGCCACCGCACCAGTTCACGGACCGGCCAGTCGTCGGCGTGCTCACTCTGCCGATCACCGTTCCGTCGCAGCGAAAGATCGGCGTGTCGTCGTTCGCCACGTCGTACCAGCGATGGATCGAGGCTGGCGGCGCGCGCGTGGTGCCGATATTCTACGACTCGACCAAGGAGGAGCTTGACTTCATTCTTAATAGGTGAGATTTTGTCGAAGCTGGTTGGGCTGGTCGAGTTGACTCCGCTGATCGATTTGAATTCTTGAGTATCTCATCAGCACTTTTAACCCATCACTTTAACAGATCAAGCCAATATCACATTTGCTGGCGTGGGTCATTCTAGTGTCTGAGTCATACTAAGTAACGTGTCAATCTATCTTGTCAACAAATAAGGAAACTTTAATCGAAATCTCGCCAAAATCTCCTTGCCGACGTGCGTGCGTGCGCTGTGCAGAATCAACGGCGTGTTTTGGACAGGAGGGCTGGTGGACTTCAATCCGACGGAGGAGGATCCCGAGGGTTCCAAGTACCTGGCGACGACGGAGTACGTGTGGAAGCACGTGGTCAAGGAGAACAGCAACGGCAACTACTACCCGCTCTGGGGCACCTGCCTCGGCTTCGAACGCATGTTCCAGGTCAGTCTGATGATCCGGGTCAACTTGAGGTTATGCTTAAGGATAACGAAAGGTTGGCGCTGTGAAAGAATTTTACCATGCTACATTGGATGTGCCTCTCTTTGGGGTATACAACTTGACTGTTCTGGAATAACTAGCGCCTGAAAATAGTAGGCACATTGTCCTGCATTGTTGAGTAATTCTCAAATTTGGTTCCTCCCGTTTCCCCCCTCGTTCAAACTTCGCAGCTGTTCGCCAACGACGTGAACGGGACGTGGATTCGCGAAGTCGACGCGGAGAATTTCGCCATCAACCTCGGGTTCACCGCGGACGGCTGGCTGTCGCGGCTCTTCGGCGGGATGAGCTACGAGCTGTTCAAGCAGGTCGCGTCGCCCCTCGGGGACCTCGCGTTCAACAACCACGGGCTGGGGGTGCATCCCGACGACTTTCGCGCGTCGCCCGCGCACGAGGTGTTTCGCATCCTGTCCGTTGACGAGGATCGCAACGGCACGCAGTTCGTGTCGACCGTGGAAGGCAGGCACTTTCCGTTCTACGGGACGCAGTGGCATCCCGAGAAGGCCCCTTGGGAGTGGAACCCCAAGCACGAGATCGCCCATAACGAGGTGAGAGGTTTGTCACAACTGAAAGGAGTGAAAGAGCTGCTCCTTTACTCTCTTGTCCTCACTCCCTCCCTGTTCCTTGATCTACTCTTGTGATTGGTTCTCCCGCTCTTCCCCATCATCGTCCCTTTTTTCAGAAGGTCCTGAAAGGGCTCGCTGATTGCTGCAATCTATGTGACTCTCTTCTTAATTGACTTCTTACATGTCCGTCCTTACTACTTCCCCCCTCTCCCACCCTCTCTTCCCCCCCTTTTCCCCCGCATTTCTCCCCTTTCCCACCTGGCTATCTCACAGTGGGCCGGCACGTTTTCCAACTATCTCGGGCGTTACTTTGTAACGGAGTGCAAGTACAACAAGAACCAGTTCGAAAGCGAGTACGAACTCTCCAAATACCTCGTCGAAAACTGGCCTGCCCGCCCCACGGGTAAATTCCACAAGATATTCAGCGCGTACTCGCAAATCACATTCTTTCCGTCGCACAAGCCTGTGTGGGTGCAAAAGGTAGAAGCACTGGAAGCCGAGGGGGTTACAGTGAGCGAGGAGCGAGCTTCCGAAATGATGATGACGATGATGCTGGCAAAAATGTGATGGTGATTGGGATATGTGACAATGGTGCCTCTTGAGGCGCCTCAAAAGCCGAGCGGGTGACAGTGAGCGAGGAGCAAGCAGCTGAGATTATGATGATGGTAGATATGTGATGGTTAAACGATGCTGATGCTGATGCTGATGCTAGTGCCGATGATGGTGATGATGGTGGTGCTGACAGTGGTGCTTCTTTCCCAATGCAAACGGCTGATGGCAGTGCAGTGGGTTACGAGCGAGCCATGAGATGTGATGTTGGTGGTGGGGGGATGCGTAGTTATCAGCTCGAGCCACTCAGCTTATCGCCTCAACAAGCAGCAGAGTGGGGGGGAAGGAGAGGTGAAAGGGTGGGCTGCAGTGTAGACTACAGGAGGCGACTGAGGGGGATTCAAGTTATCTCTGGAATTACAGCTATAATTGGCTGCTGAGAGCATGTCTGCTGTGAAAGAAGGTAGCATCAGTGCATCATGGTGTCTGGTACCGGTATAGCCAGTTCGTAAGGATTCAACTCCCTTGCATTAGAGCGCACTGTAACATCTAGTACTTTATACAAGTCTATCATACCGTATGTGATTTAACTATTTTGGGTCCAACAGGACACAATACAAACGATAAGCTAGCATGCTACACTCAAGCAAGGTGTACACACCTGAGGTCAAAACTGAGCTTTGCACTTGCATATCAAAACTGGGTTGGCCCAGTTTCCCAGACCAGAAGTACCAGTAAAAGTCTCTATTTGGTTTTGACACAATACATGGTACGACTGAAACTGGGTATATTTGCGGCCGTATGAGCGATGCTGTTCGGTCTTACTTGGCAGGCGGAGGGAGGATGTGGGGCAGGTGGTGAACGAAGACCCTCGCAGTGCCTCCCCTTCACGCTTGCAACCACGTTCGAGTAATAGTGGAAACATGTGAGTATCACTCGGCAGGCGGAGGGAGGATGTGGAAGAGGTAGTGGATTAACACCCTCTCATGCGCCTCCCCCATCGCGTTCTAGTCGCCCCAGAAGCAGTCTCACTTGTTACGCGGAGAGGGGATGTGGAGAAAGTACAGTACTGGAGAAAGGCCCTCACATGCGCCTCCCCTTCACTCTTGCAACCACGTTTGAGTAACGGTGGGACAATGTGAGTGCCACTTCGCAGGTGGAGGGAGGACGCAGAGCAGGTAGTGCATGAAGGCCCTGCTATTGAGGCGCACCAAAAGTCGTGTGAGTGTCACTTGTCAGGCGGAGGGAGGATGTGGAGTAGATAGTGGATGGATGAAGGCCCTCATATCACATGCGCCTATTGATGCTCATCAAAAGTCATGTGAGTGTCACTTGTCAGGTGGCGGGAGGATGTAGAGTAGGTAGTGGATGAACGCCCTCACATGTGCCTCCCCCACCTCTCCCACCACCGCATCCCCACCGCTCGTTGCAACCACGTACGAGCAGTGGTGATGGTCCCCGGAGATAGCCGTGTCAAGGTATCGAGGCGCGCCGATAAGCCTAAACGAAAAAAGACCCAGCCTCAGTTGACAGGCGGAGGGAGGATGTGGAGTAGATAGTGGATGAAGGCCCTCACATGCGCTTCCCCCACCTCTCCCACCACTGCATCCCCCTCATCTGTTGCAACCACGTACGAGTAGTGGTGGTCGTCGGGGATAGCCGTGTCAAGGTATCGAGGCACGTCTAGGTGTCAAGGTGTGTGTTGGTCAGCCGTCTCACTTGACAGGCGGAGGGAGGATGTAGAGAAGATAGTGGATGAAGGCCCTCACATGTGCCTCCCCCACCTCACCCACCACCGCATCCCCGTCTTTTGTGGCAACCACGTACGAGTAGTGGTGGTCGTCGGGAATAGCCGTGTCAAGGTATCGAGGCGCGTCGATTTGCCACAAGTCCAGAATCGTGGCTGCTCCTGCTGGTATGTCAACTACGCCTTGCTCCGAGCCTGCTGCTGCTCCTGCTGGTGTTTCAGTGTCGGCCCTTTCCTCACCCCCCTCCTCGCCTGCTGCTGCGCCTGCTGTTGTGTCTGCTGCTGCGCCTGCTAGTGTGTCTGCTGCTGCGCCTGCTAGTGTGTCTGCTGCTGCGCCTGCTAGTGTGTCTGCTGCTGCGCCTGCTAGTGTGTCTGCTGCTGCGCCTGCTAGTGTGTCTGCTGCTGCGCCTGCTAGTGTGTCTGCTGCTGCGCCTGCTAGTGTGTCTGCTGCTGCGCCTGCTAGTGTGTCTGCTGCTGCGCCTGCTAGTGTGTCTGCTGCTGCGCCTGCTAGTGTGTCTGCTGCTGCGCCTGCTAGTGTGTCTGCTGCTGCGCCTGCTAGTGTGTCTGCTGCTGCGCCTGCTAGTGTGTCTGCTGCTGCGCCTGCTAGTGTGTCTGCTGCTGCGCCTGCTAGTGTGTCTGCTGCTGCGCCTGCTAGTGTGTCTGCTGCTGCGCCTGCTGCTGACCCTTCAGAACTTTCAGCCGCCAGTGCTGCTGTTTCTGCTGCCGCTGCTTGAGCCGGTGTGGCAAACGACCCATAATCAGAATCAGAATCGGTATAAAAATCCGTGTCTCCTGTCTTTCCTGATTCTTTCAAATCCCTTCCAACAGGCACCTCCTGCAAGGTCCCTTGAGCTGCCTCAGCAGATGAATCTCGAAAAAGCGCGTCATTCCCCCCCACATGAGAGCCTCTTTCCAACCCTTCACCAGGCAGTCGTTGCAAGCTCTCATCGAGGTCTTGCCAAGCCACCCCCTCCCCTCCTCCCTCCGTTCCACCCTCCCCTCCACCCTCCCATCGGCCTCCCCCATAGGAGCCTCTTCCCAACCCTTCACCAGGCAGCCGCTGCAAGCTCTCATCCAAATCCTGCCAAGCCACCCCTTCCCCTCCTCCACCCTCTCCTCTGCTTCCCCCATAGGAGCCTCTTTCCAACCCTTCACCAGGCAGCCGTTGCAAGCTCTCGTCCAGGTCCCCCCAAGCCATCCCCTCCCTTTCACCCTCCCCTCCACCCTCCCCTCTCCCCCCTTCTCCCGTGCGCTCCTCTCCTGTACGCGAGTCGCCTCTCCTGGACTCCTCAAGCACGATTCGTTTCAAGAGCGCGTTCACAGCCATGCCTGCTCGATTCGTTCTCGGGCCGGTGTAAAAATTACACGAGTCCCATCGCACCGGAAACGAGGGGATAGTGCGGAAAACCACCCGGCCTTTTCCGGGCGCAACGGCGGAAATGCCCCAGCGCACAAACTCGCGCAGGTACACCCGGAGGGCTTTAAGAGGCTCCCGGCAAAAGGACGCGCCCCAGTAGCCCCCTTCAAAGAGAGTGACGTCAGCTGTGGTTGAGATGTTGGGAAATTCAGTCATCCGATGGGTTGTGGAGCCGCGAAACCTGGTGAGGAGGAAGGGGGGGGCGGGTGTGTGAGGAAAGGGCGAGAGAGGGCAGGGGAAGGGGAGAGGGATGGGGATGGGAGAGGAGAGAAATACTGCCTTCAACACACCTCGAGTCAAAATTTAATTCGCAACCCAGCACACACCCCTAAGACATCCCTTCACTTAATCAGGCACCAAAAATAAAAGAAGTAAAAACCTGATAATTGACGCAAAAAATAAATTTCAAACCCTGAAAACAAGCTTACCTGCATCCGAACTCCCCATTCCTGTAGACCCCATCGATCCAGTAAAAGTTAATCTTCAGCTCCCTCCCCTCTTCATCCTTTGCCACATAAAACAGATTGTCCCGCCACTTCTTCACCCACATATCCACCTGCCCCGTCAGCAGATAGTACAAATGAACCGCTAAGAACCGCTGATGGGAATCCCCCACAATGCTAATTTCCCGAATGCCTCTCTGCTCCAAAGCAGCAATCCACCTGCTAGCAGGCAGCTCCTTGTGCGCGCAGAGGAACGGTTCCCAGCGGTACAGACCGTTTCTCATCCTCCACCGAGCCTGAACCGATGCCCCGAGGCAGGGGCTTTTGGGAAGCTCGGAGTCTGGTTCGGGGTAGGCTCGGGACAGGCTGCCTGTGGGAGGGTTTGTCTGTGCTGCTGGCGGTTGGAGGTGGGGAAGGGAGAGGTGGGGTTGCTGTGCGTGTGCGGTGGAGTTGGGTGCAGTGCGGGGCAGAACGGTGAGAGGCCAGGAGACGAGGTCGTGCTGAGCTGTCTTGTTGAGGTGCAGATAGTAGTGCGGTGAGAAGCGGAGGTTCGCACAGCCTATGTGCATAGTGGCCCTGCGAGGGGAATTGGAGAGAGATGAGGAGAGGTGGGAAGAGTTGAGGAGGCGTGGTGATGGTGGTGAGATGGAACGGCATGGGGATGTGTGAGGATGGGCTAGAAATAGTTATATTCAACCCAACGTAAACCATTGCCCAAATGAGGGGGACGGCATTGGGCAGAGGAGGGGTGGAAAAGGCTGAACCTAAGCATCCCTCCCATTTCCCTTCCACCGTCCCCCACCGCACATCTGTGCACTCACAGGTATTTCCCGCCATCCCACAGGCGGTACGTCATTCGCATCTCCCTGCAGCACGGGGGGTCAAGGCAGCGCACGTCCCCCGCGCCCATGGCGGGTCCGCGCATGGTAACCGCCACTACTCCCCCATTCCCACCCAATCCTCGCTCAACCGTTCCCTCTGCACTCACAGGTATTCCCCGCCATCCCACAGGCGGTACGTCACTCGCATCTCCCTGCAGTGCGGAGGGTCAAGGCAGCGCACGTCCCCCTCACTACTCCCCCACCCACACGCAAACCTCCCACCAATCACTCCCCACCGCACAGCACCATTCTGTACTCACAAGTACTCTCCTCCATCCCACAGCCTGTAAGTCACTCGCATCTCCCTGCAGCGCGGGGGGTCAAGGCAGCGCACGTCCCCCGCGCCCATGGCGGGTCCGCGCATGGTAACCGTCACGTCGCGCTTCCACCACCCGCGCTTCCGCCTCAGCAGCACGCCTTTATCCCATCGCGCGGGCGCGCGCACGGACAGGCGGAACGAGCAGCGCTGCCCGCGGACGCACGCGCCGCAGCCGCGCCCGTGAATGGTGACTCCTGGGGGCGAAGGGGAGGAGTAGTCTGCGGAGGGGGAGGGGGAACGGGGGAGCGGGGAGCGGGGGAGCGGGGAGCGGGAGGGGAACGCAGAAATGGCATGAAGCGCGCATGCGGCGACATGCGCAAGCTCGTTCCTATTTGGGGGAAGGCAGACGAAGCCGTGAATTGCCACGAGAATTTGCGCGAAGCATGGGCAGGGGGCATGGGCGCGGGGCAAAGGCGGGGTAAGATCATGGGCAGGGGGCATCAGGGGCGGGGGGCATGGACGGGGGGCATCATGGGCGGGGGGCTTCAGGGGCGGGGGGCATGGTCGGGGGGCATCATGGGCGGGGGGCATCATGGGCGGGAGCATGGGCGCAAGCATGAGATTCCGCCTCACCTCCCGACGACGTCCAGCACACGTGCTCCCGCCGCTGCTGCTGCGGCCGCGACCGCGCGCCATTCCCGCCGCCATTCCCGTAGCTGAATTCACCATCCAAACCCCCAACCACCTCCCCCCCACCTAAAACCATTCCCGAACTCTCCCCTTCCAATCCCGCGTACTCTCCGCGACCACGGTAGCCCATGGCTTTCCGCAAATTCCCCATAAGATAACGTTTCTCCCAATCCTCCCCCCAAACCTTCCCCCATCCTCCCCAGGCGGACCCGCGCAGCGGCAATTCCCCCGCAGATGCCGCGCCTTCCGCGCGTGCGACGTCCCCCACTCCGCTAGCAGCCGGGTCCACCAAAAGTTGCGGAGAGGATCGTGCTATAACGAGTATAAGGAGTAGCGCGTTGACAGCTAGCAGCATATAGTGAAACCAGTCCATGCCATGCGTGCTTCTCGGGCTTCTGCTCCCCTCGTTCGAACAACCTCCCGACTTTGTAGTCACAAACGGGGACAAAGGATTCGATATTAGGCGAATTATGGGAGTATACACTCCAATGAAGAAAGAACATATCGACGAGGAAGAGCCTCTCAAGCTGGAAACGCGCGAGACGGCATCGGCTGGCGGTTTCAGGCTGACAGTTCTGTCGGTCGCGTCGCCTTCCGAGATTCTGTCCATGGATTTCAATACCGAGCCGTTTCGTTCCGTCATGGTGCCGGCTTCGTCCGCTTTCCGTCAACTTTCTGTCAGCACTGTCGCTTCGGCTAAATGGAGAGTGCGAGATGTATTGCTGATAAAAAATAGCAAGTGGTCTGGTTGTCGTCGAGGAAAAGCAATCTTATGATATTAAAGGCTGCTTGCAAACGGGGAGGGCGAGGAAGCTGTTCCAAAGCGACCTACATAAACTGACACGCGAAACTCGGAACGACACGGGAAGCGCAACTGAAGGTAGATAGACGGCAAGCCGCATCGCTGTAATCAGCCGCAAAAGCCCCGACAATTATGAGCTTAGACGCTCGGAAGTTACCAATGCACACGCCCGCACGGAGTAGGATCTTCGAACGACCTGCTATGACTGATAAACGCGTGGCTGGCGTAGCTACAACGCGAGGCTCGCTGTGAATCTTGAAGCGAGCATAAGGAACGAGCAGCGAGTCAGCGACTCAACGGATCGGGTATTTTCGACGGGAACTTCCCCTACAGATCACGCCTCCCCTGTACAGTGTTCACTGACAGTGTTGTACTGTAGCATACTGTACCCCTTTCTCTCTGCTTTTGCTTCCTCGTGACGTGACGTGAATGCCGTAAACGTTGCGTTGCGTTGCGTTGCGTGCTGTCAATCAGTGCCTGCCCGTCAGCCACAAAGAATTGAATGCCGTGCGCTGCGCAAATGTGTGGCGTTGGGATGCTTGTTCTGCCTTGCACGAATCGCAGCAGTAGTGCCGCTTTGACTTCCTCAGAAGTTTTGCTTCCGTTGCGACGATTCACGCATTACCCTAAATCGGGGTTACAAACCGCTGAATGAGGTAACTGTTTCGGGCTAAGCCAGGAAAATGAACGCGCTGCCCACGCCCTAAAAAGCAGAATGTTTTGCAATTGCTCGTGGGGCAAAAACTGGGGTGTGTCGCACACTACTTCCCAGGCCAACCAGTCAGCTCGCCAGCTACAAACAGAGTAACGGAGGGTCGAGTGTTTTGCAGTTGACGCCAGATTCTCTTACTTGAGACCCTGGCTATAAGGAACGAGCAGCGAGTCAGCGACTCAACGGATCGGGTATTTTCGACGGGAACTTCCCCTACAGATCACGCCTCCCCTGTACAGTGTTCACTGACAGTGTTGTACTGTAGCATACTGTACCCCTTTCTCCCTGCTTTTGCTTCCTCGTGACGTGACGTGAATGCCGTAAACGTTGCGTTGCGTTGCGTTGCGTGCTGTCAATCAGTGCCTGCCCGTCAGCCACAAAGAATTGAATGCCGTGCGCTGCGCAAATGTGTGGCGTTGGGATGCTTGTTGTGGCTTGCACGAATCGCAGCAGTTGTGCCGCTTTGACTTCCTCAGAAGTTTTGCTTCCGTTGCGACGATTCACAGCCCTGGTAACCCGGAAGTCGGCGGGATTGTGTTTTGTCGCAGCGGACTGACCCGGACAAGTACCTTCAACTGACCAATTCGGTTCCCTTCTACATGATTCGGTATCTTGTATAATCCACAGCAACTGTTATCCAGGTCAATTTGATTGTCGGAAAGACACGAGGCTGTTTGCGTTGCGAATTGTAAGTTAAAAACAAAACTGGTTTCTACATGCATTCTTTCGGAAATTAGACGAAAGGAAACTCGAAGCTGTACTAATCGAGAATATTGGCTTGTTCCCTGAATCTAGCCATTCTAATTCCACGACAGTCCTATGGTGTCTGATTTCGACTTACCTTGGTCAACGCTCATAGCCTGTGTGGACATCCTTCTGATTCCGCTGCGCTTCACACATATAAATCCTGCAAAAGCTGCTGGTAACCTGTTTTTTGTAGGCTACCTATTGGAGCCTCCCGTCGCACAAGCAGCCAAATGTCCAGAGCAATGGCGTTCATAGAAGCAGGACGCGACTGGTGCAGAGTATGTAGATGGCACGAGCAGGTACGAGCTGAACCACGGGGACTCGTTTCAGGCTCTCCGGAGTCCGTCCGAACACACAAATCTCGTGCGGATCGGGTCGCTCGCACTGCATCGTACTGTACAGAGAGTTCAGCGGCGAGATGCAGCTCATTCAGCCGCTGCGGCCGTCGCTAGAATCGCACGCTCTGCGTTGCATATTGGAACCACAGCTCTGCTACTACCGTACCGTACTGCATCCTCTGTGCCCAGTCTACATGCGTATGGTGTTGGAGGAAGTTGGGGTCGGGACCTCAAGCTACTGTAGCACAGCAGTGCCTTATGCTGCTCACGTCGAACAATAGGACAACAGTAAGTACCCCCTTTTCGAGGGTGCATTTGTACCGTGAATTGCGGGCACGGTGCGACGCGATTCTTCCCTAGACGTGGGGAAAAGCAACCAGCCAGCAACAGTTGCGCTTGACCCCTAGAACTGTAATTTCTTCAGTCGTTCGCTCGCGATTTTTTTCACCCTAAGCCTTCCGCGTTTCTCTGCCTCGCGGAGCCTCGCCTCTCCTTCGCTCTACTCCCTTCCCGATTTTCGCTCCATTGATTTCTCGCGCTCCCCATTCTCCCCTTCCCCCCTTCCCGCCTACCTTCCTCGCGCAGAGAATCCTCTATAACCGCCCACCCGCCGCCACCATGATCTCGGATCGCTCGCATCCATCTCTCCCCCTATGCTTCACTCCACGTTATGAAACGGGCCGATTCACGCATTCAGCCAGGTTGTTACTCTTGCTCCCCATCGCCACTACAGTACAATAGTACTGATATCGGGAAATTTAGATCCCATGGTGTATTTCTTGTACTGTAGAGCACCAGTTGTGCCGGCTTTTAGGGCATGACCGTGCCGTGCAGCATTGCAACCTCGCCCCTCTTTCAGCCGCTTCTCGCTCTCTCTCCCGGTCTCGCCCTCCAGCCCCCTTCCTCCTCCCCAAAGCCCACCCCACCTCTCGCCGCTGCTGCTGCTGCTGCTGCTGCACTCGACGAGTGACCTCCTCACGTGAATCCGGCACCAGAGAGTTGAGTCCGAAGGTTTGAGACGTCTCAAAACGCGATACAGAGATTCGTCTGAACCACATTTTCCCGTCTCCCGTTGGTCTCAAATCAGCGGGCCTTCACTCGCCCGTTCCTACCTCTCGTCGCGTCCCTTCTGTCCTCTCTACCTCGAGAACACCTCGTTCTCTCCGTTGCCCGTTAGAGACGGCCCCGGTATAAGATCAGCCACGCACGCCGCCGTACGCGAGCTGCTTGAAAGCCATGGCGGCTCCGTTTCATCGATCCTACTCCGACGAGAATCGCGTCGTCTCGCCGACCACTGCGCCGCTGACACGTGGAGCATCAGTAGGAGGAGCGGTCGGAGGAGCAGGAGCGTCGGTCCCAGCAGGCGCTGTTGCACCAGTGCGTGTGTCGCACGGTCCTCCTGTCTATCCCACTGCTACCGGGTATGCTACTAACGGGGATGGGCACTCTGGGGGCTCGCGGGGGTCCCTGGGGAGCGGAGGCGGGAGCGCCAGGGCGCTTTCGAGATCCAGCAGCGGGGCTGTTAATAACGCGGATGGAATGGGCAATACTAACGGAGAGGGGGGGAGTGGGAGGAGGCTGAGGCGCGTGGAAAGCGGGGAGGGGAGCGGGAAGCAGCACTGGTCCGGTACAAGCAGCAGCGCGCTCTCTGCTTATAACGAAACGCCTCGTGCCTGGGGGAGCCACGTGTCCGGCGCTGGTGACAATAGCGGGGGCGCGATTCTCGAGCTGGGTGACTATAACGACCAGGTCCCCCCATCCCCGTTCCCAGAACCTATCAAGGAAGAGGAAGCTTCCGTGGAAGGCAGGAATGTTCCTATGCCGGATGTGACTCTAGAGGAGGAGCTGTCAGAGTCTCTAATGCCGCTCAAGTGGGTGTTCTTCCCGGAAGCAGACCCCGTCCAGCAGTTTCGCGGAAAGCCGTGGCGCGAGAAGATCTGGGTGTTCCTTAAGGGCGTGTTCCCGATCCTCGCGTGGCTTCCTGAGTACGACTGGCGGTACTACCTGCTGGGTGACATTATCGGAGGAGTTTCCATCGCTGTCATGTCCGTGCCACAGGTGAGTTGTGGCTGTGCGCTGCGGGCAGTGGCTTAGGAGCGATGGGCGGCGGGCAGTGGCTTAGGAACGATGCGCGGCGGGCAGTGGCTTAGGAGCGATGCGCGGCGGGCAGTGAGTGGTGAGCGGTGCATTGCGGGAGTGCCCATCGCTGTCATGTCCCTTTCCCAGGTGAGCCGTGCGCTCTAGCCGTGCGCTCTAGCTGTAAGCAATGGGCAGGGGGCTGTGCGCTGTCATGTCCGTTCCCCAGGTGAGCCGTGCGCTCTAGCTGTGTTTGTGCGCTGTGCTCTGTGCTCCGTGCTCTGTGGCTGATGAGCGATGAGCGGTGAGGGATGAGGGATGAGCGGCGGGCAGGGAGCGGTGAGCGTTGCCCTGCTGCATTGCGGTATCGCGATGTGTTCTGACGTGTGGTGCCCAGTTGTGTGCAGGGACCTGCATTCATCTTCTCCCCACTGCTCCTGCCTCTCCTTGCCTCTCATGACTGCTCTCGTGTCTCCTCCTCCCTTTCTTCTCCTCGTCCTCCCCTCCCTCTCTTCCCTCGGCTCGCCCCTACCAGGACGTATCATACACCAAGTACGCCAACATGCCTGCCCGTGCTCTCATCATGCCTCTCCTCGCTCTCACCACTATTCGTATCTCCTCCTTCCCCACTCCTTCCCCCCCTCTCCCTCTCTCCCCCTCTCAGGACGTATCATACGCCAAGTACGCCAACATGCCTGCCGAGTTCGCTCTCCGTGAGTTTCCCTCTATCTCCTCTCCCATCCCCTCTCTCCATCCTCATCCTCTCCCTCATCCTGTTCCTCTCCATCCTCATCCTCTCCCCTCATCCTCTCCCCTCATCCTCTCCCCTCATCCTCTCCCCTCATCCTCTCCCCTCATCCTCTCCCCTCACCCTCTCCCCTCATCCTCTCCCCTCATCCTCTCCCCTCACCCTCTCCCCTCATCCTCTCCCCTCATCCTCTCCCCTCACCCTCTCCCCTCATCCTCTCCCCTCACCCTCTCCCCTCATCCTCTCCCTCATCCTCTCCCCTCATCCTCTCCCCTCATCCTCTCCCTCCCCATCCTTGACCACATCGTGATCGCCACCACATCAGTTTTGAGGCGCCTCAAAAGTCGACTCTTATCCCGCAATTTCTGAGGCGCCTCAAAGATATCCTCGTCCACCTCGTGATCGTCACCACATCAATTGTCTCTTACCTTCTCGGCACAGCTCTGCATGTCCAATGGATCCCCTGTCCTTCTCCTCTTTCCTCTCTCCCTCCCTCCTCCCTCCCACCAGGCACCAGTTTCATCCCGCCGCTGCTCTACGCAATCCAGGGCTCGTCCAAGCACCTGGTCATCGCGCCCGTGTCAGTCATCTCTCAGCTGCTCGGGACCTCCGTCAGCGCACTCGTCAACCCCGCCACCGACCCGGCACTCTACACCAGCCTCATTGTCACCGCCACCTTCTTCTGCGGCCTCTTCCAACTCATCATGGGGCTCTGCCGGTAAGCTGTGAGGGGAAGGAGGGGAATGGGGTACTTGGGACTGGCCTTGCCTCTCAGTTACTCGCCGTCACCGCCACCTTCTTCTGTGGTCTCTTTCAACTCATCATGGGGCTCTGCAGGTAAGGGGGCGGAGGGACTTGTGAGACTGGGCTTGTCAGTGTGCTTGGCTTGTCCCCCTCAGCGGACTGGGCTTGTGCTTCTGCTAACCACCTCCGTCAGCGCACTCGTCAACCCCGCCACCGACCCGGCACTCTACATCAGCCTCCTTGTCACCGCTACCTTCTTCTGCGGCCTCTTCCAGCTCATCATGGGGCTCTGCCGGTAAGTGGCAGGCACAAGGGCGTGTACAGGGCTTGTGAATGCTTCTGGGAGTGTCAGTGTGCTGAGCTTGTTTCTGGGCCTCTACACCAGCCTCGTTGTCACTTCTACCTTCTTCTGCGGCCTCTTTCAGCTCCTCATGGGGCTCTGCCGGTGAGGGGATGAGCGTCTCAGGGTTGGTGTGCTGGGGTATGTGCCTGTAGCATGCTTGTGTGACGGGGCGTGTGCTCCTGCTCGACATGGGTTCCTGTGGGGCAGCTCACTCGCCCACCATCGCCATCCAGCACCTGAACTGAAGCTCATCTCTCCAACGGTGCCGTGCGGTGCTGCTCGGTGCTGTGCAGTGCTCTCTGGCCATTGCCATTCACCAGGTTCGACTTCCTGGTGGGTTTCCTCAACCAGCCGACCATCGTGGGTTCCTGTCAGGGTGCTCGCTCACCAGCTCCCTCACCTCTCTCAAATGCCTACCTCTGTCTTCCTCTCTTGAACGCCTACCTCTCTCCCTACCCTCCCTCCCTCTCTCATCAGGTTCGGCTCCCTGGTGGATTTTCTGAACCAGCCAACCATCGTGGGGTTCCTGTCGGGTTGCTCGCTCACCATCGCCATCCAGCAGCTGAAGCTCGTCTCGTTCGCACGCCTGACTTTCTCTCACCCTCCTACCCTCGCTCTTCTGCTCTCCTCCCTCGCCATCAGGTTTGGATTCCTGGTGGATTTCCTGAACCAGCCGACCATTGTGGGTTTCCTGTCGGGCTGCTCGCTCACCATTGCCATCCAGCAGCTGAAGCTCATCCTGGGCTACAAGGACTTCACACTCAGCACCAGCATCGTCAACATCATAGCTGCCATCGTGCAATACAGCTACGAGGTGGGTGCAGTGCGGCGCAGTGCAGTGCTGTGCGGTGCAGTGTGGTGGTACTTGGTGCAGTGTGGTGCTCGCTGACCATCGCCATCCAGCAGCTGAAGCTCATCCTAAGGTTTCAGGACTTCGCGCTCAGCTGGGTCTTCTTCGTCCCCCATGGCTCAGCTGGGTCTTCTTCGTCCCCCATGGCTCAGCTGGGTCTTCTTCGTCCCCCATGGCTCAGCTGGGTCTTCTTCGTCCCCCATGGCTCAGCTGGGTCTTCTTCGTCCCCCATGTCTCTCCCCTCCCTCTTCGCTCTCTCTCCGATGCCTCTCCCCTACCTTATACCCACGTCCTTGTTTGCCCTTCCCTCCCATTACCGTGGCCAATCCCATCCTCATTACCATTGCCTTCCATGCCTGCAGTTCCAATGGAAGGCGTTCGTCACGGGCTTTTCCTTCGTTGTCCCCCCTGCCGTTCCCCTGCCCCTCCCCTGCCTTAATCCCACGCCCGTGTTTGCCATCCCCATCCCCATCCCCATCCCCGTGGCTGCAGTTCCAATGGAAGGCGTTTGTCATGGGCATGTCATTCTTACTCCCCCCTGCCCCTCCCTGCCTTAATCCCACTCCCATGTTTGCTCTTCCCGTTGCCGTTGCCAATCCCATCCCCATGCCTGCAGTTCCAATGCAAGGCGTTCGTCATGGGCATGTCTTTCTTTGTCTCCCCTGCCCTTCCCTGCCTAAATCCCACGCCCTTGTTTGCTCTTCCCGTTGCCATTGCCAATCCCATCCCCATGCGTGCAGTTCCAAGGCGTTCGTCATGGGCTTGTCATTCTTCCTCCCCCCTGCCTTCCTCCTGCCTTAAACTCACGTCCATGTTTCCTGTTCCCATTGACCTTATGCCTGCAGTTCCAGTGGAAGGCGTTCGTCATGGGCATGTCATTCTTCCTCTACCTCTCCACAGTGCGCCTGCTGGTATGCGCTCTTTGCCCCTCCCTCCTTCTCCGTACATAGAATAGTAACATTGTCTTGTCATGGGCATGTCATTCTTCCTCTACCTCTCCACCGTGCGCCTGCTGGTACGCATCTCTTCACCTTTTCCCTCTCACTCCTTGAGAAAACTGAGGTGACATAGAAACACTTGCATGTCATGAGCATATCCTTCTTCCGCTACCTCTCCACAGTGCGCCTGCTAGGTACGCGCTCCTTGCCCCCCTCCCTCTCCTTGTGAGAGTAGAGGTGACACAGCAACCCTTGCATGTCATGGGCATGTCATTGTTCCTCTACTTCTCCACAGTGTGCTTGCTGGTGCGCACCCCCTGCCCTTCCTGTTACCCCCTTCTGCCCCCCACCCTGTCTTAAGAGTTCGAGTTGACATAGAAACACTTTCGTGTCATCAGCATGGCCTTGTTCCTTTACTACCTCTACGTGCTGGGCCTGCTCATCTCCATCCTCGTCTCCACCCCCTTGAATGCGTGTCTCATTCTCCACCCCACCACCCCTCCAACCCCCCCCCCACAGCTGCACCTGAGGCCCAAGAACAAGGTGTTGTACTACCTCAACGCGCTGGGCCCCCTCAATCCCACTCCCCCAAACCACTCCCGCACCGCACCCAATCTCTCCACCCCCCCCACCCACAGCTGCACCTGAGGCCCAAGAACAAGGTGCTGTATTACCTCAACGCGCTGGGCCCGCTCATATCCATCTTGTGCTCTGCCCCCTTGAGAGTGTCTCACTCACTCAGTCTCACCCCACCACCCCACAACACACCCATCACACCCCTGCCGCAGCTGCACCTGAGGCCCAAGAACAAGGTGCTATACTACCTCAACGCGCTGGGCCCGCTCATTTCCATCCTCGTCTCCACTGTCATCGTGGCAACTGCAGGGCTGGCCGACAAGGGCATTCCCACTGTGAGTCATCACATCTCTTGCTCCTCTCTGCCATGACCGAACTGCTACTACCATTGCCGTGCGCTGAGGTCAACGCGCTGGGCCCGCTCATTTCCATCCTCGTCTCCACCGTCACCGGCAAGGGCATTCCCACGGTGAGTCCTCACATCTCTTGCTCCTCTCTGCTATTTAGTTTTGATAGGAGAGATCAGCACGGGTCTGCCACAAAGCCTCCTCCATTGCTTACCTCAACTTCTCTTCTCCTCATCCTCTGGCATTTTTTGCCCATCTTATTCCCCCTTCCCTCTGCCCCCGTCCCTCTGCCCTTTCTTAACCTAGATAGGGAAGATCAGCACGGGACTGCATGGAGCCAACTCCATCTCCTACCTCAACTTCTCTCCTCCTCGCCCTCTGCTGACTTGTTCCCATCTTCTTCCCTCGTCTCTCTGCCCTCTTCCCTCTGCCCCCTTCCCTCTGCCCTTTTTTCCCCCTGCCCAGATAGGGAAGATAAGCACGGGGCTGCACGGAGCCTCCTCCATATCCTACCTCAACTTCTCTCGAGAGCACGTTGCTGACTTGTGCCCTTCTTCCTCCCTCTTGCCCCGAATGACCTGCCCAGATAGGGAAGATAAGCACGGGGCTGCACGGAGCCTCCTCTATATCCTACCTCAACTTCTCTAAAGAGCATGTTGCTGACGCCGCTGCCGTCGGCTTCATCGCCTGCCTTGTCTCCCTTGCGGTGAGCTTTCCTTCCCGCATCCGCTTTTTTGCTCCACTTCGCCCATCACTCTCAGCCCGTCCTCCTTCATCGCCTGCCTCGTCTCCCTTGCGGTGAGCTTGCTCCACTTCGCCCATCACTCTTAGCCCATCTGCCGTCGCGCATATCTCTTAGGCATCCTCCTCCATCTCCTACCTCAACTTCTCCAAAGAGCATGTTGCTGACGCCGCCGCTGTGGGCTTCATCGCCTGCCTTGTCTCCCTCGCGGTGAGCCTTCCGTCTTGGCTTCCCTTTCGCCTTTCGTAGTTCTTCCTCGCCTTTCAGAATCCCTCCTCGCCTTTCACAATCGGCACTCGCCCTTCGAAATTGCTCCTCGCCTTCCCCATTCCTCTGGTGTTACCCATCTGCTTGTCTGCTACAGGAATCAGTGGACATTGCTCATACCTTCGCCAGCATGTATGACTTTGAGGCGCCTAAAAGTTCCTCCTCGCCTTCCCCCTTACTCTCATGTTACCCATCTGCTTGTCTGCTGCAGGAATCAGTGGGCATCGCCCGTACCTTCGCCAGCCTGCATGGTTACAGTTTTGATGCGCCTCAAAACTAACTTCCCTCTTCCTCTCGTGTTACCCATCTGTTTGTCTGCTGCAGGAATCAGTGGGCATCGCCCGTACCTTCGCCAGCATGTATGGTTATCACATCGATGGAAACAAGGAGGTGAGCTCGTTACCACATCGACAGAAACAAGGAGGTGAGCTGGTTACCACATCGACGGAAACAAGGAGGTGAGCTGGTTACCACATTGAATAAGGAGGTGATGCGTTATAGGTGCACTAGTTACCACATAATAGTAACAAGGAACCAAGTGCTCAGCTCCGTGCACCATGACTCATTTTGACTCCCTGTGCATGTTCACTAACCCCCCTCTCCCTTCCCTCCAATCCTTCCTTGCGTTCAGATGGTGGCGTTCGGTTCAATGAATCTGGTCGGCTCCGTCACCTCCTGCTACGTGGCAACAGGTGAGGCAGAACTGAACGGTGGATCGAAGTGCAGTGCAGTGCAGTGCAGTGCAGTGCGGTGCAGTGTTGTGCAGCACGTCCGTTCCTGTGATGCCTTGCTGCATAGACCGCGCTCTCATGACTCCCTTCAACCCCCCTTCGCCCTCCCCCTCCACCCTCTTCACGAGGCTCCTTCTCCCACATGGCGGTTAACATGCTAGCGGGAGTCAGGACAGCGCTCACGCGCTGCTCGTCATGATGAGGCAGTGAACATGCTAGCGGTAGTCAGGACAGCGTTCACGGGGCTGCCTCATCATGTTCACTGCCTCATCATGGCGCTGCTCGTGCTGCTCGTGGCTGACTCCTCCCACACACCGTTTTCCCCACTTGTGCACCCTTTTCCTTCTTTCCAGGCTCCTTCTCCCGCACGGCAGTGAACATGCTAGCAGGAGCTAGGACAGCGCTCACGCAAGTCATCATGGCTCTCCTCATTCTGCTCGTGCTGCTCGTCGCTGCTCCGCTCTTCAAGAACGTTCCCAACGTGAGCCTTGCTTCCCTGTTGTTGCATGAATGAACGGCGTTAACTGTTCTGATGCTGCTCGTCGCTGCTCCGCTCTCCACACTTCGCACTTGCATGAAAAGATTCCCAATGTGCGCATTGCGCCTGATACCCGCGCCGCACTCCGCTACCCGCGCTTCTCCACTGTCAGGTGTGTTTTTGCCTAAGGCAAACAAACCTAATACCACATGCTGCCCGTGCCACGTGTAGAGAGGGTGTTTTTGAGACGTGCCTAAGACGAACAAACCTAATACCACATGCTGCCCGTGCCACGTGTAGTGAGGGTGTTTTTGAGACGTGCCTAAGACGAACAAACCTAATACCACATGCTGCCCGTGCCACGTGTAGAGAGGGTGTTTTTGAGACGTGCCTAAGACGAACAAACCTAATACCACATGCTGCCCGTGCCACGTGTAGAGAGGGTGTTTTTGAGACGTGCCTAAGACGAACAAACCTAATACCACATGCTGCCCGTGCCACGTGTAGAGAGGGTGTTTTTGAGACGTGCCTAAGACGAACAAACCTAATACCACATGCTGCCCGTGCCACGTGTAGAGAGGGTGTTTTTGAGACGTGCCTAAGACGAACAAACCTAATACCACACGCTGCCCGTGCCACGTGTAGAGAGGGTGTTTTTGAGACGTGCCTAAGACGAACAAACCTAATACCACATGCTGCCCGTGCCACGTGTAGAGAGGGTGTTTTTGAGACGTGCCTAAGACGAACAAACCTAATACCACATGCTGCCCGTGCCACGTGTAGAGAGGGTGTTTTTGAGACGTGCCTAAGACGAACAAACCTAATACCACATGCTGCCCGTGCCACGTGTAGAGAGGGTGTTTTTGAGACGTGCCTAAGACGAACAAACCTAATACCACATGCTGCCCGTGCCACGTGTAGAGAGGGTGTTTTTGAGACGTGCCTAAGACGAACAAACCTAATACCACATGCTGCCCGTGCCACGTGTAGAGAGGGTGTTTTTGAGACGTGCCTAAGACGAACAAACCTAATACCACATGCTGCCCGTGCCACGTGTAGAGAGGGTGTTATTGAGACGTGCCTAAACCTAATACCACATGCTGCCCGTGCCGATTGTTCCCGCCTCGCTCTTTAAAATCGTTTCCCATGGCCCTTGCATCGCCTTGTTGTTTTTCTCTCAAATGACAACTGTGTGTCGCTCCCTCTCCCCTCCCTGCCCTCCCTCCCTCGACATGCAACCCATGCGTCTCCGGGCCGCCTTTCACTGCAGTGTGTGGTTGGTGCAGTCATCGCCTATGCTGCCCTGAACCAGGTAAAGCCCTGAACCAGGTAAAGCCCTGAACCAGGTAAAGCCCTGAACCAGGTAAAGCCCTGAACCAGGTAAAGCCCTGAACCAGGTAAAGCCTTGAACCAGGTAAAGCCTTGAACCAGGAAAAGCCTTGAACCAGGTAAAGCCTTGAACCAGGTAAAGCCTTGAACCAGGTAAAGCCTTTCTTGAGACGTCTCAAAACTCTATGATTATCACACGGATTTTGCCTCTTCCGTGTGTGGTCAGTGCAGTCAGCGCAAATGCTGCAGTCATCCCTCCCTGCTTCCCACTCTCCGCTTCCCACTCTCCGCTTCCCACTCTAATTTGTACTGTCGCTCCCTCTCTCCCACCTTTCTCCTCTACATCATGTCGGGCTGCTGTTCTCATTCCCACCATATTCCCCCCTCATCCACTCTCCCCCCTTCTCCTTCCTCCCTCTCCTCCCCAGCTTGACTTCCATGCGGCAGCAGTCCTCTGGAGGGTAGACAAGATGGATTTCCTCGTCATGTCGGGCTGCTTCCTCACTCCATTCCCTCCTTATTCCATCCTTCCCGCCTCTTCTCCCCCTTCCCTCAGCTCGACTTCCACGCAGCAGCAGTGTTGTGGAGGGTGGACAAGATGGATTTCCTCGTCATGTCGGGTTGCTTCCTCGCCATCCTCTTCTTATTCCCTCCTTCCCCATGTACCCTCTCCTTCCCTCCCCCGTTTTCCCTCATTCCCAGCTCGACTTCCACGCAGCAGCAGTGTTGTGGAGGGTAGACAAGATGGATTTCCTCGTCATGTCAGGCTGCTTCCTCGCCATCCTCTTCGGCTCCCCCGAGATCGGCCTGCTAGTCGCCATCCTTCTCTCCCTCATCAAGATCCTCCTCCGCATCCTCCGCCCGCACATCCGCCTGCTGGGACTCCTCCCCAACGCCGCTGCTACAGCCGTGAGCGTGCTACAGTTTCCCAACAGCACGCTGTGTGAGGGGATCGTGATGCTGAGGGTGGAAAGTCCTTTGTATTTTACCGGAGCTAATTTTGTGCGGCAGCGGGTGAAGAAGCTGTGTGACGCTTATGCAAGGGGTTACCAGCAGCCAGTCAAGGTGAGCTGTCACAATGAGTGTTCCACTACTAGTGCTGCAGTTTCCCAACAGCACGCTGTGTGAGGGGATCGTGATGCTGAGGGTCGAGAGCCCGCTGTATTTCCCCGGGGCGAACTTTGTGCAGCAACGGGTGAAGAAGCTGTGTGACGCTTATGCAAGGGGTTACCAGCAGCCAGTCAAGGTGAGCAATTTCAGTGATGTTGCCGCATTCACCAGGTGAACGATCAGTGAGCGTGCTACAGTTCCCCAACAGCACGCTGTGTGAGGGGATTGTGATGCTGAGGGTGAAAAGCCCGCTGTATTTCACCGGAGCGAATTTTGTGCGACGGCGTGTGAAGAAGCTGTGTGATGCATATGCGAGGGGGTACCAGCAACCAGTCAAGGTGAGCAACTTGAGTGAGGTTGCCGCAGTCACTTAGAGTGCGTGTGAGAACATTGGAGCAGCGCGTGAAGAAGTGGTGTGATGCATGTGCGAGGGGGTGTCAACTGCCAGTGAAAGTGGGCCACTACAGTGAGATTGCCATGTGCCACACACCGTTACAGCTTCTTGTGAGATTGCCATGTGCACATGACTCGATTGCGCTGCCTCCACCTTACAATCATCCGGCCCTCTTCTTTTCCTCGCAGCACTGTGTGTTGGATCTATCAGTGGTGCATGACATTGATGTCACAGCCATTGAGGCCATGAGAAAACAGCCATGCACATACCCCACCTTTTCTTTTCCCCCAACCCCCGTCCCCCTCAACCCCCGCCCCCTTTCCCCCTGCAGCACTGTGTGTTGGATCTATCTGTGATGCATGACATTGACGTGACGGCCATAGAGGCAATGAGGGACCTGCACCGCGATCTCACACAGATGGGCATCCAGGTGAGCTGACCTCGCATGCAGGTGCGCTGAGTTGGCATGCAGGTGTGCTGAGCTGGCTTGCAGGTGTGCTGACTTGGCGTGCAGGTGGGACGGGCTGGAGTTCAGGTGAGCTGAGCTGGCATACAGTTGAGCTCACATGGCATCTGTCCGCTAGAAAGTCAATCATTCACTTCCCCAACAGTGCCAACAGGGATGTCTTTTGAGGCGCCTAAAAATTGTCCGCTAGAAAGTCAATCATTCACTTCCCCAACAGTGCCAACAGGGATGTCTTTTGAGGCGCCTAAAAATTGTCCGCTAGAAATTCAATCATTCACTTCCCCAACAGTGCCAACAGGGATGTCTTTTGAGGCGCCTAAAAATTGTCCGCTAGAAAGTCAATCATTCACTTCCCCAACAGTGCCAACAGGGATGTCTTTTGAGGCGCCTAAAAATTGTCCGCTAGAAAGTCAATCATTCACTTCCCCAACAGTGCCAACAGGGATGTCTTTTGAGGCGCCTAAAAATTGTCCGCTAGAAAGTCAATCATTCACTTCCCCAACAGTGCCAACAGGGATGTCTTTTGAGGCGCCTAAAAATTGTCCGCTAGAAAGTCAATCATTCACTTCCCCAACAGTGCCAACAGGGATGTCTTTTGAGGCGCCTAAAAATTGTCCGCTAGAAAGTCAATCATTCACTTCCCCAACAGTGCCAACAGGGATGTCTTTTGAGGCGCCTAAAAATTGTCCGCTAGAAAGTCAATCATTCACTTCCCCAACAGTGCCAACAGGGATGTCTTTTGAGGCGCCTAAAAATTGTCCGCTAGAAAGTCAATCATTCACTTCCCCAACAGTGCCAACAGGGATGTCTTTTGAGGCGCCTAAAAGTTGTCCGCTAGAAAGTCAATCATTCACTTCCCCAACAGTGCCAACAGGGATGTCTTTTGAGGCGCCTAAAAATTGTCCGCTAGAAAGTCAATCATTCACTTCCCCAACAGTGCCAACAGGATGTCTTTTGAGGCGCCTAAAAATTGTCCGCTAGAAAGTCAATCATTCACTTCCCCAACAGTGCCAACAGGGATGTCTTTTGAGGCGCCTAAAAATTGTCCGCTAGAAAGTCAATCATTCACTTCCCCAACAGTGCCAACAGGGATGTCTTTTGAGGCGCCTAAAAATTGTCCGCTAGAAAGTCAATCATTCACTTCCCCAACAGTGCCAACAGGGATGTCTTTTGAGGCGCCTAAAAATTGTCCGCTAGAAAGTCAATCATTCACTTCCCCAACAGTGCCAACAGGGATGTCTTTTGAGGCGCCTAAAAATTGTCCGCTAGAAAGTCAATCATTCACTTCCCCAACAGTGCCAACAGGGATGTCTTTTGAGGCGCCTAAAAATTGTCCGCTAGAAAGTCAATCATTCACTTCCCCAACAGTGCCAACAGGGATGTCTTTTGAGGCGCCTAAAAATTGTCCGCTAGAAAGTCAATCATTCACTTCCCCAACAGTGCCAACAGGGATGTCTTTTGAGGCGCCTAAAAATTGTCCGCTAGAAAGTCAATCATTCACTTCCCCAACAGTGCCAACAGGGATGTCTTTTGAGGCGCCTAAAAATTGTCCGCTAGAAAGTCAATCATTCACTTCCCCAACAGTGCCAACAGGGATGTCTTTTGAGGCGCCTAAAAATTGTCCGCTAGAAAGTCAATCATTCACTTCCCCAACAGTGCCAACAGGGATGTCTTTTGAGGCGCCTAATAATTGTCCGCTAGAAAGTCAATCATTCACTTCCCCAACAGTGCCAACAGGGATGTCTTTTGAGGCGCCTAAAAATTGTCCGCTAGAAAGTCAATCATTCACTTCCCCAACAGTGCCAACAGGGATGTCTTTTGAGGCGCCTAAAAATTGTCCGCTAGAAAGTCAATCATTCACTTCCCCAACAGTGCCAAGAGGGACATCCTTCGCAAGGTGTTTGACGCGTAGATAGGCGAGCAGTGGCTTTTCGTTCACTCCTCACTCTCCCGTCACTCCTCACCCCTTCCCTCTGCTATTCCCTCTGCAGCTGTGCTTGGCGAGTGCCAACAGGGACGTCCTTCGAAAGATGTTTGACGCACAACTACTCGCAGAGATAGGCGAGCAGTGGCTTTTTGTCACTCCTGCAGATGCTGTCAAGCTGTGCCGTGCCGTGGCGCTCTCAGCACCTGCTGCCAAGGAGGCTGAGGAGCTTCTGAACACAGTGCCGTCGTTTGATATTTAGAGGAGTGGGGGTGGGTAAGCAGTGGCTCTTTGTCACGCCAGCCGACGCTGTCAAGCTGTGCCGTGCAGTGGCGCTCTCCCAACCGGCTGCCAAGGAGACCGAGGAGCTGCTAAACACTGTGCCGTCGTTTGATATTTAGAGAACCTGGAGGCTTGGGTTTGCTTGGGGGAGGTATGGTGGGGATGTATCAACTGCAAATGTGCCGTGGCACTTTCCCAGCTTGCTGCCAAGGAGGCTGAGGAGCTTCTGAACACTGTGCCGTTGTTTGATATTTAGGGGGATGGGGGGTGTTCAGATGGGCTCAGAATGATGTTAGCTGTGCCTGGCTGTGGTGCTCTCCCAGCCTGCTGCTAGAGAGAGAAAGAGGAGCAGCTGAACACTGTGCCATGTCATCGTTTGATATCTAGAGCAGCTGGAGGTTTGGCTTGGCTTGGCTTGGGGAATGTGCTGTGGCATGACATGACACTCCCAACCTGCTGCCAAGGAGAGTGAGGAGGTACTGAACGGCATGCGCAGAACTTTTGATATCTAGGGGGGTGGAAGGTCAATAATGCTAATTTCGGGTCTCTCGAGTGAAATTGGCACTCGCTTAGCCTGTTTCCAGTGAGCATGAAGATCAGTTAGCGGATTCTCAGCCGTATGATACCGGTATATGGAGGAGTCTTTCAGTGAGCATTTCGGGTCTTTCGAGTTAGAAGACATGGCTACTTGCTGTCACGCCATACGGTGGTGGCACACTCCCGATTGCTGCTACGGGTAGGATTTACTTATTTATTTCCAGTCTTCTGTTGTTTCAAGGAGCTGGCAGCTGTGACATTCTGTCGCATTTGAGCTATGATCATTCCATATACTACATTATCAATCTAACAGAAGAGAGTGGTCAAGTGAGGTGAGAGGTTTGATGAGATAGTGAATTGACTGATTAGTTTGTGTGAGAACAGACCACTCTACACGGCGATGATGTATTCATTTGCCATACCCAGATTTCAGGACACCACCACAGACTGGAAAATATAGTCTATCCATGAATAAACAGCTGTACAAAGCAATACATACAGACTACTGAGCTCATATTTAGACACTAGTCACCACTCCCACTCTCTATTCCAACTCAGCCTCTCTGCTTCACCAGCCTAACAGAGCTTTGCAACAAATAGAGGCATGCGATGGAGATAACCGCCAAAGAACGGAATCTATTTATCGAGCGGCTTCAAGTCCGAAGCGATGGGGAGAACCACGGGCTTCCCGTCCTCCCCCTCCACCTCCACTCCGCGCGTGTACGTCAAAAGCGGGTCCAGCGCGCTTTTGCTGAACGGATCGCGCGGCACGCCCGCGCCCGCGTTCGGCGGCGCCTTGGAAACATCCGGCGGATTGTTGATCACCACCCAGCCGCCCAGCAGCCCTCCAAGAAGCAGAAACGTGAGACCCGCGAGAAACGGGAAGCGGATCGCGAGGGGGTCGATACCGAGTTGACCGAACACGCCCTTGCCTGTGAGGACTTCCATGGTCAGCGCGCTCGCGAAACCGACCATCGCGAGGCGACCGACGCTAAGCTCCTGCAGCTGTCCGAATCCGAACCACGTTCCCGGGCCTCCGAGACCGAATCCGGGGCTGGCGGGAGGTGCGGGGGAGGTCGCAGGCTCGGGTGTCGAAGGATTCGAGGAATCCGCGCGGATGGCTAAGCGAGTGGGTGGGATGCGGTTGGAAGGCGTGGAGAGGGATGTGAAGCCTTTGTGTGCTGGAAGGCGCACGGCGACGAGGGAGGGGCTGGTGAGAGCCCGTTGATGGGTTGCATGAGGGCTGCGCGCTCGAAGCGCTGCGGCGTTGGCTGTCACTGAAGTAGAAGCGGCGAGAGTGGCCATGGCTCAGAGACTCGCGGTGAGGATGCTGAGGTGGATGGAGTAGCTTAGCTTTAGAGCGAGTTTTCTACAGGGCTCTGGTCGCAGAGCCAAGAGTACGAAAAATTGATGGGGTGTGCGCTGTAGGAGAGAGTAGAAGCATTTCGTAAAAGAATTTGACGAGTAGAGGAAGAGGGATCGTATTTATACATTGTGGAAGCAGGAAGCGGCTCGCCAGCGCTGAGTGCTACTGAATCTCGGCCGAGACGCGTATCGGCTCGCCTACGTGTCACGAGAAAATGCGCAGAGTCACGAAGGTCAAATGCTGAGGTGGCTGGTGGGCCACGTCTCGAGTACCATGTGGAGCCGCAAGAGTGCGCCACGGAGTGTGCCGAGCGTGTCTGGTGAGGCAAACTACACGTGGGCGAATGCTTCTGTTTGGTTCGGGCTCCCTTGTCCCCAAAGGCAGTCCCCGTTTGAGGCCGGTTTCAGGGATGTGTGGTAAAGTTTCGCTTAGTTAGAAGGATCTAGAATTTACAACAGCTAGAGGTTATCCCTTGACTAGAGCTCATGAACATTCTGAATTCCAGACAGATCTCCTAACCCATGGTATATGCATTCCAATAGGCTGTCATGGTTTTTGGAATTAACTTAATAGGACTAGGATCAATAACCTACGTAGACTGCTGCATTTACAACGTAGCAGTCATCATTACGGTCACCCAGTGCTTCTAGTGCCACACCACTTGAACAGATGAGGCCGCCATCAACCACCTCAACGCCAATGATTTCACCACTGCCAGCACGCATGATAACAACGTGCTTGATTAATGAGTGAAGGTTCAAATCATGCATACGAGAGGTGGATTGAGATTATTTGAGAGATGTGGAGAGAGAGAGGGAAAGGAGGAGGGAGAGAGTGGGAGGAGGGGGAAGCGGGGGAGAAAAGAAATGGGAGGGGGAGGGGGAGGGGGAGGGGGAGGGGGAGGGGGAGGGGGAGGGGGAGGGGGAGGGGGAGGGGGAGGGGGAGGGGGAGGGGGAGGGGGAGGGGGAGGGGGAGGGGGAGGGGGAGGGGGAGGGGGAGGGGGAGGGGGAGGGGGAGGGGGAGGGGGAGGGGGAGGGGGAGGGGAGGGGAGGAGGGGGGAGGGGGGGGGGAGGGGAGAGGGAGGGGGGGAGGGGGAGGGGAGGAGGAGGCGACTCACTAGGGAACACGGCCTTGACTTGGTCAATATCCAGGTCAGCCTGGAGTTCCCTAGGCACGCCCAGGCGCACCTGAAGCTTCATCTGCTGCCACGACACACCTGGGATGGCACCTGGGGGAGGGAAGGAGAGCAGTAAGGCATGGGAGAAACGCACCTTTTGGAAGGAAGAAGGGAGAATTGTTAGGGAGTTGGGAAAGTGGGCGGAAGAGGGGAGACTGAGAAGGAAGGAAACTATCCAGGTTGAAATCAAGATCACGCCCCCTACCCGTGCGGAAGGCAGGGATGGAGTTGGACGTGATGGCGTTTCGACACGCCTTTATCGCTGCCTTGGTCACATTCTGCCTGCCACGTGGCAAGACATGATTGGAGGGATAAAAATAATGGGTGAATGGATGGAGAAGTGCTGATCAGAGGGCTGTCAGGAATGAACCCTAGGGTTAAGAACACATCCTAGGGTTGGATGGACACGATAATGATAGCTCGTTTGTTTTCTGCCAAACTTGGTAGAAATTGTAATTTAAGTACTAACGCGCATCCATCAAATCACTGTATACGACGCACCCGTGCTGGTCGTATCCCACGCCCATCTCGACGAAGAGCACTTTCATGCGACTCCCCTCGCCCGTCGCCTGCGACGCCCCTGCGACGTCGCTCGCCTCTGCCATGGCGACAAATCGCCGACGCGAACCGGACGAGACTCCGGGCGATATGGCGGGTGAAAATCGCAGAGGCGCAGCGACTAGCAGATTCCGCGACGCGCTAAATGAACAGTAACCACAGCGTGGAGTTACGGCGAATCTATGGCTGGTGGCTGAAGGAGAGAGAGGAATGCGAGGGGATGCTGTTAACAGAGGCATTGCCTAATCACTTGATCACCTATTCGTTGAATTGCTTGATCGCCTATTAATCGCTCTTTCGCCTGACTCGGCCGCTGCGGAGAATATGCACCCTGGTCTGCGTAATTCAGGGCAATTCTGCTAAGAAAATTCCTAAATCCCTGGGCATGGCGCCAATATCCGAAGGTGGCAATTGGAAATTTGGTGATTATTACTCGATAAAAGGTGATATCCTGTTATACATATAATACGCAATCTCACTCGTAATTTGTATACGTGACTACAGTTCACCTTCGTATACCCCTGCTACATCCTCGCGCGCTTCAGTATCACGTGCCAATCGCCACTTCCGCATATCTCGACAATTTTCGTGACCGTTCTCCGTTCCACCATCGCTGCTTCCGCTTTTTCTCGGCTCGCCTTGTCTCCTAACCGTTGCTCCCATCCGTCGCGCTCGCTTTGGTTCGCTTCGTCCTTTCCCGCCATGATATCCGACAGGATTTCAAAGGTTGTACTTATAGCGTGCGGCGTGGGCACGATAGCGGGTACGTTACTAGGGGGTCGCGCAAGCTCGTCTCAGTCTCGTTAACAGCTGTTTCTCGTCGCCCCTCTCTTCCCGTGCGCTCTCCGTTTCTCCCTTCGGCCCCCAACGCCCCCCCGCTTTCTCTCTGCTTCTCCGATCCTCACATCCTCTCAGCTACTATTCCCTTCCACGCTCCTCCCGCTCCTCTCTACCTTCCCGTGCCTCTCCCCACGCGCATCTCCCCTCTTCTCCTCTCCCCTCCCCCTTCCTCCAGCCGCCACCCCATCCTCCTCTGTCTCTCATCACCATTTCCTCTCCACCTACCCCTCCTTTCACCATTCGTCAGTCTCCCTCGTCCCCACCCTCCTCCCTTCCCTTTCCTTCCCTTAGCTTCCCTTTCTCGTCCCCTCTCTTCCCCTCTCCTCTCCCTCTTCCCCTTCCCCTCCCCCATCGTACTCAACAACATCTAATTCCGCGTACCAGGTCTGTTACTGACGTCAGCGGATCGCAAGGCCCAATCACGAGCGCAGGGACCTGCGTCCGTTGAAGATAAGCTGAAGCAACTCGATAAGAGCATGTCTCGATAGCAGCACATGCAGTGGTGGTGTTGAGGAGGAATATTTGGTGGTGGCTTTTGCTGGGGCGGCCTAGCTGGGAGGTAAATATGAGGCACTCTAGGTTTCCAGGGTCAAGTAAAGGAGGGAGAACCCCCCCTATCTTTGCACCAAGGAGAAAGTCACGCATACTCTGGTGGTGCGATGGAGTAGTTTTGCTCCAGATTGAAGCATGTTGCGTTTGTGCCGTGATCTAGTGAAATAATCCCAAAGAGTCAAGTTAAGCAATGCAAATATCAGAGTGCTGTGAATCTACGGTTGTTGTTATGATATGGACTTCAATTCAAACCTGAAGCTATATTTGAAATGAGTCTTTCAGAAAGCTTCATTCTTACGCTGTTTCGAAGATCTCTTGGACCTTCACAGCTCGCCAATAAACCTCGTCACTTTCCTCTCGGCTCATATACACAACTGCTGCACCCCCAACCGACCATTTCATTCCCTCTCGACCCTCCACAACCCACCCTTTTTCTCGTAGCTCTGCATCCACGGCGGAGCTGCGCGCATTCCCGTCTGGTATCTTGATCGGACGGTTCAGCTTTTCCCGATAATGGCGGGTGGTTGGCAGCGCTCGCGGAGGTATCGCCGGCGAAAGAGAAGATCGTATTAGACGAGGAGGATTGGAACGCGATTCTTGACGCGATGCGGCCGTACGAGAACCGTACGCCCAATGACACGACACTCCGTACGCCGAACAGTACGCCGAACGGTACGCCGCGGAGAAGAAACGGAACGGCACGACTAGCGTCGTGCGGAAAGCGGCCAGCGCCGTCAAGAAGTCACTTGCTTCGATCACTGTGACGAAGACGAGGCTTATAACGAAAAAGAACACTGTAACGAGGACAACCGAGGCGGAAGGGGCGCCATCGCCCCCCGCCAAGCGTAGAAAGCTCGATAGCGCGTGCGCGGACAAGACTAGCAAGGGGGACGGAGAGGAGGGAGAAGCAGGTGCGAGAATAAGTAAGGGAGAGGAGAAGCAGAGTGTATGGTGGTCGTTTAAACTGCCGGAAGTGAGTCTCAAAGACCCAAGCAAATCGCTAATGAGTGAGCTAGTAACGCGGAAGGTCGGCGGAGGTTCAGGGGTCAAGGACGGGGTTTTAGCGGGGAAGAACGCAAACGGTAAGGGCAAAGGCGCAGCGAATGCGCCATCAGCAGCGGCAGCAGCAGCGGCAGCGCAAGCGGCAGCAACAGCTGGAGCAGCGGCGGCAGCGGCGGCTGCGGCGTCACAGAAGCGGAAACTACCGTCATGGGCGGAGGGAAAAGGGCCGGGGGCAGCGGTGGTGAGGGGCGCGGATCAGGTCGTGGCGGCGCCTAGCCTCGCGCGCGACTTCTCCTTCCGCCGCGACGTGCATGGTACGCGAATTGGGGCAAAGGGGCAAGGGGGAAAGGGGCCGGGGGCAGCGGTGGTGACGGGCGCGGATCAAGTAGTTGCGGCGCCTAGCCTCGCCCGAGACTTCTCCTTCCGCCGCGACGTGCAAGGTACGCGAACTGGGTATGGTGCTGGTTGCTGCAAGGAGGAGGGGCAAAGGGCAAAGAGGCAAAGGGGCCGGGGGCGGCGGTGGTGAAGGGCGCGGATCAGGTCGTGGCAACGCCTAGCCTCGCGCGCTACTTCTCCTTCCTCCGCGACGTGCATGGTACGCTGATTGAGTACCTTGCAAGGATTGTTGAAGTGCGTTGTGTGGGTATAGTGCTGGTTGGCGCAAGGAGGCAAAGGGGCCGGGGGCAGCGGTGGTCAAGGGCGCGGATCAGGTCGTGGCCGCGCCTAGCCTCGCGCGCGACTTCTCGTTCCTCCGCGACGTGCAAGGTGCGTCAGGCTTGGCTAGGCGAGTCAGGCGCGACCCTTCCTCCCTCCTCCCCGCAGCAACATCTCTCTTCCGCGCTGTACCAGTGCTCGCGCAAGACTTCCTATGTGCGCTTCCCCGAGAAGGTGGTGTACCAATTATGTTCCTGATACCCCTCTTCTCTGCTTCCTCCCACTTCTTCCCCCTCCCCCCCCTTGCAGCAACATCACTCTTCCGTGCTATACCAGTGCTCGCGCACGACATCTACGCGCGCTTCCCCGGGAAGGTGGTGTGCAGATTGTGTTCCTTAGTATACCCCTCTCGGCTGCTGCCCCTTCCCCTCCCTCCCTCCCCTCCCCCCCCCCTTCTCCCCACAGCAACGTTGCTCTTCCGTGCTATACCAGTGCTCGCGCACGACATCTACGCGCGCTTCCCCGGGAGGGCGGTGTGCAAATAGTGCTCCCTGTACTCCTCTCCTCTCTGCCCCCTTCTCCCCCTTTCCCCCCTTACAGCAACATCACTCTTCCGTGCCATACCAGTGCTCGCACACGACATCTATGTGTGCTTCCCAGGGAAGGTGGTGTACCAATTATGCTCCTTATACCTCTCTTCCCTGCTTCCTCCCCCATTATAACAATTATGCAGCAACGTCGCTGTTCCGTGCTATACCAGTGCTCGCACACGACATCTACGCGCGCTTCCCCGGGAAGGTGGTGTATCGTCGCGAGAGAAACGGGGTGGAGGCAGCTGCGAGGGAGCTCTATGCTGCTGTGAAGAACGGTAGGGCTTGCAGGGTTTGGGGTGTCGGGATTCGGGTTTCGGGTTTAGGGGTTCAGGCTGTTGGAAGGTGTGCTGTTACTGGACTGCGAAAGGCTTATAGCGTTGACTCAAGTTGCTTCCTCCCGTTCTCGATCTTTCTGTATCACCCCTCTGCCCCTCCCTCTGCCCCTCCCTCTGCCCCTCCCTCTGCCCCGCACTCTGCTCCTTCCTCTCCTCCACCAGGGGCGAACGGCAGTGGCAGGGTAGCAGTGGGACTGGACTGCGAGTGGAAGCCCACGTGGGGGAAAGGTGAGGGTGGTAAAGTTTGGTGGTTTGTGGTGGGGTGTGGTGGGGTAGGGTGAGGGCAGGGCATGACGGGCCTAGGGCAAGGTTGCCCCTCCCTCAATGCTCAGGGTGCCAACGGCAGTGACAGGGTGGCAGTGGGGCTGGACTGCGAGTGGAAGCCCACGTGGGGGAAGGTGAGGGTGGTGTGTTGGATGGTAGAGTGCGGTGGGGTAGAGTGAGGGTGGTGCGATGCTGTGTGCACCTGTGCTCCCCTTTTCCTCACACTCACACCTCGCCCTCTCTCCTTCCGTCCCACCACCAGGCCCTGAGAACCCCTGTGCGCTCCTACAGCTCTGCTCATCAGTGCACTGTCTTACCCGCGTCCCCTCACTGTTCTCCCTTCCAATCCCCCCCCCCCCCCCTCGCCACCACCAGGCCCTGAGAATCCCTGTGCGCTCTTACAGCTCTGTGCCAACGCGGACGTCTGCTATCTCTTCCATCTCAAGTTCACCGGCATTCCCGAGACTCTTAGGGCACTGCTGAAGGATGCTAGCGTGGTCAAGGTGAGTGTGTTGCGGGCACATGTGTCTGTGCTTGAATGTGTGCCAACGCGGACGTCTGCTATCTCTTCCATCTCAAGTTCACTGGTGTTCCTGAGACTCTCAGGGCATTGCTCAAGGATGCTAGTGTGGTCAAGGTGAGTGCGTGACTGTGCATGTGCGCGTGCGTGTGTGCGTGGGTGAGTGTGCATGCATGCGTGCACGCACTTGTGAAAGTGGTGCGGTGAGATTGCCATTTCTGCCCCTGCATATTCACGCCTATTCTCAAGACCGCCCATCGCCCCTGCCCGTCCCTCCTCCTCTCCTCTCCTCCCTCTCCCCTCGTCCCTCCCGTCTCATTTCTGCCCCCGCAGACAGGTGTGGGTGTGACAGAGGATGGCCGCAAGCTGAGGCAAAGACTTTGATGTCATAAAGGGCTGCCCCCATCTCCCCTCATCCCAATTTCCCATCCACCCCGCTTCCTTCCTCTCGTCCCTCCCCTCTCCTTTGGTCTCTGCCCCGCAGACAGGTGTGGGTGTGACAGAGGATGGCCGCAAGCTGAGGAAAGACTTTGGTGTCGAGGTGAGTAGAGGGGTGGACTTCGGTGCCGAGGTGAGTAGAGGGGTGGATTTCGGTGGTGTTTGCACATGTCTCTTCTCTGCTCGTACAGACACGTAGGCGTGACAGAGGATGGCCGGAAGCTGAGGAAAGACTTTGGTGTCGAGGTGAGTCGAGGGGTGGACTTCGGTTCGGTGTCGAGGTGAGTAGAGGGGTGGACTTTGGTGTCGAGGTGTGAAGGGAGGTTCCGCTTGTGCATGAAATAGTCTCGGGACGGGGAGTCTGTGGTGCCGAAGGGAAGGCAGACGGTGGGACTCATGACACTCACCCGCCTCTTGTGTGTGAATATCCATCCACATATGTGTGTCCCTGTCTGCTGAGTGTGTGTCTCTGCGTGCACATGAGCAGGTGAATGGGTTGGTCGACTGCTCCCCACTGGCAGCGGAGAAGGCAGTGGTGAAGGATGGAGGGCAAATGGTGGGCCTCAAGACACTCACCCGCCTCGTGCTGCAAAAAGAGGTGAGACTCGTTGAGCGAATTTTGTTCGTCTTCTGAGTGCCAGAACACACACTGCAGACAGTGGTGCGGCAGTGTGGTGCCGGACGGAGGGCAGATGGTGGGGCTGAAGACTCTCACCCGCCTTGTGCTGCAGAAAGAGGTGAGCTGTACTGCTGGGTGCAATGAGTCGTAAGTCCACGTCATGCACAAGCACAGGTGAAAAGAGTCCAGTGCAGCAACTGGGAGGGCTTTCCTCTCACCGACGCCCAGCTCATCTACGCTTCAATATCTGCACTTCAACTCTCCCGTGTTGTTCCCCCCCACCCAACTCTCCAACCCCCAACCCCGTCCTCCACCAAAAATGCAGCTGGCCAAGCCGAAGAGAGTCCAGTGCAGCAACTGGGCGGCCTTTCCTCTCACAGACGCCCAGCTGATCTACGCGTCAACAGACGCGTTTGTGTCGCTGAGAATCTTCCAGGAACTTGACGCCATGCCTTTTACACCTCTCTCCCTCCTACCCTTGCAGCTTGCCAAGCCAAAAAGAGTGCAGTGCACCAACTGGTAGGGCTTCCCTCTCACAGACGCCCAGCTGATATACGCTTCAACATCCGCATTTCATCCCTCATTCACATTCGCCCACCCCCACCCCAACCCCATCCTCCACCCGAATGCAGCTAGCAAAGCCGAAGCGAGTCCAGTGCAGCAACTGGGAGGGATTCCCTCTCACAGACGCCCAGCTCATCTACGCTTCAACAGACGCGTTTGTGTCGCTGAGAATCTTCCAGGAACTTGACGCCATGCCCAGCCCGTGGCAGGGAGGGATTAATGGGCATGTGACGGCAGCAGTGGCAGAATCTGCGGTGGCTTTATCAGTGGCAGCTGCTGCAGCAGCGGCAGGAGGAAGAGGAGAAGAGGGAGCATTTGTAGAATCAGCTGCTGTGGCAACGGTGACAGCAGCTGCATCAGTGGAAGTGAGACAATCAGGGAAAGTGGAGTTGATAGAGGAGGGTGGGAAGGAAGAGGATGACACAAAAGGGAGGAAGGAGAAGAGGAATAAAGAGAAGGTAGGCAAGCAGGAGGGGAAGGAGGGGGAGGAAAAGAAGGGGAAGGAGGAGAAGAAGAGCAAGAACGGGAAGGAGGGGCAAGCAGATGTGGAAGCAAAGACGGGGAAGAAGAGCAAGAGGAAGCAAGACGCACTAGAGGAGGGGAAGAGGGCAGCAACAGCAGATGGTGGTGTAAGCGAAGCAGCAGAGGCAGACGGGGCGAGAAAGAAGAGGAGAAAGCAAGCGAGCACAGGGGAAGGCAAGGCTGATGGTGGGAGCAGCAGCGGCAGCAAGGTGGCGAGCTTGAAAGAGGCTGCTGCGGACACGGCAAGTAGATGGATGTAGCTGATCAAGAAAGCCACCACACGGCATAAGTAGCTACCAGCGAGGACTTATGAGGCGCGTTCAAATGCTAGAAGGGTGATGATGGGAGCAGCAGCAGCAAGGTGGCGATCTTGAAAGAAGCTGCTACGGACACGGCAAGTAGATGGATGGAGCTGATCAAGAAAGCCACCACACGGCATCAGTAGCTACCAGCGAGGACTTATGAGGCGCGTTCAAATGCTAGAAGGGTGATGATGGGAGCAGCAGCAGCAAGGTGGCGATCTTGAAAGAAGCTGCTACGGACACGGCAAGCAGATCGATGGAGCTGGTATTTAAGGCCACAACACGACAAAAATAGCTACCAGCTACCAGCTACTTGCCACTTGCTACTTGCTGCTTGCTACCAGCCCAAGAAGGCTACCACACTTTTGAGGTGCCCCACACAGCGAGCCGGTGGATGGAGCTAATTAAGAAGGCCACCACACGACAAAAGTAGCTACCAACCGGGGGGACTTTAGAGGCGTGTCTTAAGGCAAGGATGGTGGGAGCAGAAGCAAGGTGGTGAGCTTGAAAGAGGCTGCTGCAGATACAGCAAGCAGATGGATGGAGCTGATAAAAAAGGTTACCAGTCAGCAAAATTAGCCGCCAGCTGGAAGGACTTTTGAGGCGTGTCTCAAGGCGAGCAGGGGGAAGGTGGGAGCAGCAGCAAGGTGGATATGGTGTGGCATAAGGGTAGCGTCGATTTGATATGGTGTTCTTGATTGTTGGGTGTGTTGGGTGGTTACGGCGGTGGTTGGTTGCCGTAAGGGTAGCGCGAGGTCAGTGGGAGGTCTGGTGAAGGACGCGGACCAGGTGGTACCCCTAGCCTCGCCTGTGACGTGCAAGGTGCATCGATTAGGTATGGTGTTCTTGAGTGTTGGTGGTGCGTTATGTGCGCGGGCTATGTCGTTGGCAAGGTTAGAAAATCCGGTCGCTTTTTATTTACGGTTAAATACGGTATATAGTATCAAACGATTATCGTCTGAAAGGGTAAAAAGTGGTGAATGTGGAGTTTTGGGATTGGTAAAGAAATACAGTCGCTTTTTACGGTCGAAATTAAGAACCACAGAGAGTGTAGCATGGTAAACGTCAACCATCAATGTGTCAATCTTGATAGCACTTGGATTTGTCGTCAGGCGACTCGATGTTTTCGCCGCGTCGTGCACTCCAAAGAGTTGCGAGGGTAAAACTTGGCGATAGAACAACGAATTTGTATTCGTTTCGCACACTCGTTGAGCTTTTTCGCGCCATGCAAAGCGTATTCGCGGAAACCACTTGTTTCCAAATTTCTTTGTTGCACGAACACAACCAGCCAGTCGTTGAAGCTCAACGATCTTCCTCTCGCACACCTTTCAATAATCCTCCCGAAAAGCAACACCAGCACAACCCGCGAGAAATACTATGTGAGCTAGCTGAAATCATTTCTTCAAACTCTACCTACCCATTCCCCTCGGCCCTATCTAGCGGAGTAGTAGGCGAAGATGTATCTCAGACAATATTACGCCTGATAGTTAGTAGTTTCGTTTTATGTTCACACCTTTAGAGGTGGTTGGAAGCAAAAAATCTGTAACGTAAAATCGGTCGTATTTTTGGAAAAGTGACCGTACAATACGACCGTAAATTGAACCTTGGTCGTTAGTTGCTGCAAGGAGGCGACGGGGCCGGTGGCAGCGGTGGTAAAGAGCGCGGACCAAGTAATGGCGACTCAGAGCCACGCTCGCGACTTCTCCTTCCGCCGCGACGTGCAAGGTGCGTCGGGTGTGGTCGTCGTTCTTGAAATCTGTATTATCGCCTGTTCCTCTCTGTCCCCCCAACTCGCCCCCACCATCCCCAACTCGCCCCCACCATCCCCAACTCGCCCCCACCATCCCCAACTCGCCCCCACCATCCCCAACTCGCCCCCACCATCCCCAACTCGCCCCCACCATCCCCAACTCGCCCCCACCATCCCCAACTCGCCCCCACCATCCCCAACTCGCCCCCACCATCCCCAACTCGCCCCCACCATCCCCAACTCGCCCCCACCATCCCCAACTCGCCCCCACCATCCCCAACTCGCCCCCACCATCCCCAACTCGCCCCCACCATCCCCAACTCGCCCCCACCTATCCCTGCAGCAACATCGCTGTTCTATTCCATCCCATTGCTCGCGCAAGACATCTACGCGCGCTTCCCCGGGAAGGTGGTGTATCGTCGCGAGCACAACGGCGTGGAGGCAGCAGCAAAGGAGCTCTACGCGGCTGTGAAGAACGGTAGGTGTGAGAGCTAGATATTGACTAAGACTTCCAGGACTTGGGTTGTATCGCCGCGAGCGCAACGGGGTGGGGGCAGCCGCGAAAGAGCTCTACGCGGCTGTCAAAGCGGTAGGGCTTGGGGCTAATAAGTAGCTGTTTCTGGTTTCGAGGGGCTATGGAACTTCATACTTCCTGGTATAGGAAGTTGTTTGTTCAATGTGAAGGTGGTGCACCGCTGCAAGCGGAGTGCAGGGTGGCATAGGGACCGCTGGGCAATGGTGGAGGAGGTTAAGGCGGGAATTCGAGTGGCAATGGATTGGCCGGGCTAAGAGTGGGTTCACCGTTGACTCAAGCCGATCTCTCCCTGCGTGGTCTCAAGCCGATCGCAAGTTGCCCCTTCCTCTCGTGCACCAGGCGCCAACGGCAGTGGCAAAATGGCGGCGGGGCTGGACTGCGAGTTGACTCAATTCGCTTCCTCCTTTCACAACCCTCTGCTCCTCCTCCCCTCTCCTCTCCTCTCCTCTCCTCTCCTCTCATCTCCTCTCCTCTCGTCTCCTCCCCTCTCCTCTCCTCTCATCTCCTCTCCTCTCTTCTCCTCTCTTCTCCTCTCCTCTCCTCTCCTCTCCTCTCCTCTCCTCTCCTCTCCTCTCCTCTCCTCTCCTCTCCTCCCCTCTCCTCTCCTCTCCTCTCCTCTCCTCTCCTCTCTTCTCCTCTCCTCTCCTCTCCTCTCCTCTCCTCTCCTCTCCTCTCCTCTCCTCTCATCTCCTCTCCTCTCGTCTCCTCCCCTCTCCTCTCCTCTCATCTCCTCTCCTCTCTTCTCCTCTCTTCTCCTCTCCTCTCCTCTCCTCTCCTCTCCTCTCCTCTCCTCTCCTCTCCTCTCCTCTCCTCTCCTCCCCTCTCCTCTCCTCTCCTCTCCTCTCCTCTCCTCTCCTCTCTTCTCCTCTCCTCTCCTCTCCTCTCCTCTCCTCTCCTCTCCTCTCCTCTCCTCTCCTCTCCTCTCCTCTCCTCTCCTCTCCTCTTTCAGGCGCCAACGGCAGTGGCAGAGCGGCGGTGGGGCTGGACTGCGAGTGGAAACCCAAGTGTTGGAAAGGTGGTGAGTGCTTTGGGGTGAGACTGGGGAGGTTGGGGGTGGTGCGGGTGGTAGGACGGGGCTAGGGCAAGGGTACTCCTCCCTCCCCCCTTTCACAGGTGTTCCCAAGACTCCCCTCTCTCTTGCCCCCCTCTTTCTCCCTTTAATCTCTATCCCTACGCTCTCTCCCATCCCCCACTATCCACCCCACTTTCTCACTCCCTCCCCCACGCCCCCACCAGGCCCGGAGAACCCCTGTGCGCCCGGACGTCTGCTATCTCTTTCAGCTGCTACCTCCTCTCCCTCTCATCCCCACTGTATCCCCACCACTCTCGCCCCTCCGACGCCCCTCCCTCTAGGTCCCGAGAATCCTTGTGCGCTCTTACAGCTCTGTGCCAGCGCGGATGTCTGCTATCTCTTTCATCTCAAGTTTTCTGGCGTTCCCGAGACTCTAAGGGCATTGCTTAAGGATGCTAGCGTGATCAAGGTGTGTGCGGGGTGGTGGGTGAGTGTGCATGCGTGATGCATATGCATGTGTGGAAGTGGTGGTGCGGTGAGATGGCAAATTCTGCCTCTGCAAGTCCACAGCTGCTCTCAAGGTCGCCATCTTCCCTGCCCCTCCCATCTTCCCTCTTCTCTTCCTTCCTCTCGTCCCTCCACCTTCCGCTCTGCCGCTGCAGACTGGGGTCGGGGTGACAGCGGACGGCTGGAAGCTGAGTGAAGACTTTGATGTTGAGGTGAGTAGAGGGGTGGACTTCGGTGTTGAGGTGAGTAGAGGGGTGGACTTCGGTGTTGAGGTATGTGCACATGTCTCTTGTCTGCTCACACAGACAGGTATGGGGGTGACAGAGGACGGCTGGAAGCTGCGTTGAGGTGAGTAGAGGTGTGGAGAGTTTCCGCTTGTCTATGAAAGAGTCGCAGGATGGGGAGGCTGTGGTGCCAGAGGGAGGGCAGATGGTTGGGCTATGGTACACTTTGCTCACCCGCCTCTTCTGTGTGTATCCATCCACATACGTGTGCCCCTGCCTGCTGGGTGTGTGTTTCTAACTGCGCATAAGCAGTTGAATGGGCTGGTGGACTGCTCGCCACTGGCCCTGGAAAAGGCAGTGGTGCCGGGTGGAGGGCAGAAAGCGGGGCTTAAGGCACTCACACGCCTTGTGCTGCAGAAGGAGGTGAGCTGTGCTGCAGATGGTAGAAGGAAGGAGGCAGAAAGAAGGAGGTTTGCTGTGTTTCTAGGCGGCAGGAACGCCCTATATAGGTTTCTGAATGGTGATTTGCAAATCTCGTTCGTCCTCCGAGTGCCAGGGCTCACATTGCAGCCAGTGGCAGCATCTTTTAGGCGCCTGAAAAGACGACCTTTGAGCGGCCTCAGAGGTGCACATTGCAGCCAGTGGCAGCATCTTTTAGGCGCCTGAAAAGACGACCATTGAGCAGCCTCAGAGGTGCACATTGCAGCCAGTGGCAGCATCTTTTAGGCGCCTGAAAAGACGACCTTTGAGCGGCCTCAGAGGTGCACATTGCAGCCAGTGGCAGCACGTTCCCCTCTCAGCAAACACTCACCCGCGTCATGGTGGGGACGGAGGTGAACTTTCTTTCCGGATGGCAGAAGCACTTGCAACGCAAAGGAAAGTAGGTGCAAGGTCTGTGGCGTCCAAGCCGCCCCTAACCCCACCACCCCGTCCTCAACCCCGAACCCGAATGCAACTCGCCTAGCCCAGGCGAGCGCAGTACAGTAAATGGGAGGGCTTCCCTCTGACCGAGGCCCAGCTGATATTTGCGTCCACATCTGCACTACATCTCTTCCTTCCTGTTCCCCCACCCTCCCACCCCCGCGCCCACCCCCATCCTCCACTGCAAATGCAGCTCGCCAAGCCGAAGAGAGTGCAGTGCAGCAACTGGGAGGGCTTTCCACTGACGGACGCCCAGCTCATCTACGCGTCAACAGACGCGTTTGTGTCGCTGATGGCACATCCAGGAACTTGATGCCATGCCGAGCCCGTGGCAGCAAGGGAATGGGCATGTATCGGCAGCAGTGGCAGAATCTGCTGTGGCTGTATCGGCAGCTGCAGCAGCTTCTGCTGTGGGTGCATCATTGGCAACTGCTGCAGCAGCAGCAGAAAAGGCAGAGACGAACAAGAGGATGCAGGATGCAAGCGAGGAAGGGAAGCGGGCAGAGGAGGAAGGGATCGAGAAAGAACGTGAGGAAAGGATGAAGGTGGGAGCAGCATCAGCAAGGTAGCAAGCTTGAAGGAGGCTGTTGCGGATACGGCAGGTGGATGGAGCTTGTTAATGAAGGCCACCACACGGCAGAAGTAGCAGCGGGGAGAAGTTGGATGCCATGCCGTGCATTTTACGTTCCAAGGAGCTGGCATGGCATGCCGAGGCAACAGGAATTGCAGAATAAGATTCAATATTGTTCTTGCGATGAATGCTTGTAACAAGTTAAAAGTAAAGTTTTTTATCATCAAACGGTATCACCTGGCTGTATTCGCATGGCTGGGCTGTGATACCTCTGTTTCCATAGAAATCGACCTACCGACCGATGTACTGTTTCCATTATTAGCTGTAAAATGCACTCTGCTAGAGGGTTTAGGGTGATAATGAATGAACATGAACATTCTGCACTACAATATACCTTAACTTAATTTGGCACCCCCTCGGCACACTACCACTTGAATCTTGCTGACTGCTGTAAGGCTCGCTTGATGACCGATCCTCCCCCATCCTCCTCTGCACTCCCCTCGCCTGTCCCTCCCCTCCCAAGCATTAAGCATCAGAATCCACATCACACTATCTGGCTTCACTCTCGCTTACTGCCTGGGGGCCCCTCTCGGTGGCAGGTCCTCCCCCACCCTCCCTGGCACATCCTTCCCCTACCCCTCTCCTCCTAGGCATTAGCAATAGCAACTGAAACCACACCACTCTACCGCTTGACTCTTGCTGACTGCCTGGTGGCTCGTCGTTGTGGCAGGTCCTGCCCCATGCTTCTTCCCCCTTCATCCCCCTCGCCTCCCCACACCTGCCCATCCCCTCCAAAGCATTTAACAACCTAAACTACACCGCACTCTACCGCTTGACTCTAGCTGACTGCCTGGTGGCTCGTCTCGGTGGCAGGTCCTCCCCCATGCCTCTTCCCACTCCTTTCCCCTGCCCCTCCTCACCTTGCACGACCCCTCTGTACCCCTTCTTCTTGCCTTCTCTGGCTCCAGATTCGGACTCACATCCTTCTTTCCATCTTCCTTCCGTGCCTTGCTGATTCCCATCTGCTGCTTCTCCCTTCCTACCCTTTCCAACCCTTCCTTTCTCCACTGCTGCACACTGATCGTTCTCCTTCATGACACCCCCCTTCTTCTTTCCCCGACCCCTTCCCTCACCATCCTTCCCACACAAGCCCGCCTCCTCACTCTCACCCTCCACTGTTTCTCTCATCCTCTCCACCTCACTCTCACAACCCCTTCCACCAACCTCTCCCCCTTCCCTCGTCAATCTCTCCTGAAATCTCATACTCCCTCCACCACCAACCCTCCCCTTCCCCACTCCATCTCCATCCTCCTCCTGTGGCCCCCTGCCACGACCCACTCCCCTCCTCTCTCTCACTTTCGGCACACTCACCATCCTCAGAATAGGTGTCTTGTTCCCATGCCCCTCCACATCCCTAATGATAGCCGCTGCAGTCGCTGCTGCCTGCACTGCTGCCCGTGCTCGCTCCTCCTCTCTCTGCTCCTCCCCTTCACCTTCCTCTCCCAGCCCTTCCCCTTCTTCCTCTGTACCTTTTAGCCCGATCCTGCCGAACCTCTCGCCTCCAAGCCTGCTTCTGCTTCGGGATCTGGTTCGGCTGGGAGGATTGGGAGTGACGAAGAGTGGGCTACACAATGTGCTAGCAGATAGCCCCTCGGCATGATTAACAGCAGCAGCCGCTCCAGCAGAAGCGGACGCTGTAGCAGTAGCAGCAGAAGGACCAGCAGCAGCAGGAGTGCCAACAGCAGCAGCACCATCACTGCCACCTGCTGAACTCCTTTCCTTGGTTGGAGTTTGAAAGTCGCCTGACTTTCTCCTCCTCCTTGCCCCTGCCTCCGCTCGTTCACTCCCTCCCTCTTCACTCTCCTCTCTCACCACCTCTGCAGCATCTGCACCTTCAGTAGCCACAGCAGCAGCAGCAGCAGCAACAGCAGTTTCCCTTTCAGTGGCCACAGCGGCAGGCGTAGAAGCAGCGGCATCTTCCCCTTCACCTCCACTACCACCACCACCAGCAACACCAACGCCAACACCACCACCAGCAGCCCTGGCAGCAGCAGCAGCTCTAGCCCGCGCAGCCTCGTGCTTCTGAATGTCATACACGAGCTCTTTCCCCAGCTGAGGATCCGCCGCTAGCAAGTCCTCTATCTCCTCTTTATACTCCTTGAACAGACACCTCAAACACACCATCAGCGCCCCCTGCAGCGGGCTGTTCCGAGCCTCCAGCAGCCTCTTGAGCTCGATCAGAACAGGAATGGTGTTCTCTACCAGATTCTTCTTCATCAGCTGCGTAACCACCCGCCCTTTCAGAGCATTCGCCAACGCCCCTGCTCCTCCTCCTCCTCCTCCTCCTCCTGCTCCTCCTGCCCTCCCACCACCACTGCCACCTCCTCCCGCTGTAACCCCGCCTGCGCTGCTCCCTGCCTCCTCCTCCCCGTCTTCCTCCGCACCTGCTGCCTTGCCTGAGCCTGGGCGCATCTCCTTGCATGAGAGCACGTCCAGGGCGTCCCCCACCACTGCTTGCACCGACGGGCAGGAGAGCAGCAGAGCACCGTCTAGCAAGGGCGCCAGCACCTGTGGGTAGGGAGGAGATTCACAGGGAGAAAAGCAGTGTGGGAATAGAGGCATCACTACCCAACCTAAACAGCACGTCCAGGGCGTCCCCCACCACGGCTTGCACCGACGGGCAGGAAAACGGCAGGGCGCCGTCTAGCAAGGGCGCGAGCACCTGTAGAGAGGTAGGGTAGAGGTTGACGGGCAGGACACGGTGGTGTGGGGGTAGCAACGTGCAACACGATTTAGAATGGAATGTGTAGGGCATCCCCCACCACGGCTCGCACCGACGGGCAGGAGAGAGGCAGAGCACCGTCTAGTAAGGGGGCGAGCACCTGTAGGTAGGGTAGAGGTTTGCAGGCACGATAGAGCCGTGTGAGAATAGGAACGTTGCAACCAGATCCGAAACTACAATCAAGGTGTCTACAGGCAGTGAAGAGAGGTAGAGGTTTGTCTAGCGGGGCAGCAGCAGACTCTACCTGAAGACAGAGCTTGGCGGAGAGAGCCAGATGGTGCTCTCGAGCCATGAGGCGGAGTAGAGTGCGGTACACAGTGGTTCTTGCAGCGTGGCGAGATGGACCGCTGGTTGGGGAAAAAAACAAGGGGAGAATACGGGGAGGCAGCAGAAAGCACAAGCCGTGAAACGAGGAGAGTGCAGTACGCAGCAGTTTCTGCTGCATGGGTGAATTAGGAATGGATACACACAGGTGCAGGCAAACGCATCTACCGAAGGGCCGAAGCGAGGCAAACACGCGTCTTTTCCCTCACCTCAAGGAAAAACGCTCTAGTTCCTCGTCCAAGCCCTCCCTCCCTGCCCCTGCGCCCTTCCCACTCCGCCCTCTTCTCTTCCCCGACCACCCCTCCTCCTGGATGCCCTCAACGGGGGAACTTGAATCGGGGCAGTTGGGTTGTGATGGGTCGCAGGGGGCAGCTTTGGAGGAGCCAGGATTGGTCGAACCAGGGTTGGTTGATCCAGGTTTGGACGAGGCAGGGTTGGGAGGGCTGGAAGAGGAGGGTCGGGGGCCAGAGGAGGGAAGAGGAGGAGCGGTGGTGGTGGAGGAGGGGGCGAAGGGGCAGGCGTTGAGAGCAAAGAGGGCTTCTATGAATATGTTGTATGGCACCAGGGGCACACGGCCTGTGGAGGGGTGGAGAGGGGTGGAGAGGGGTGGAAAGGGGTGGAGAGGGAGGGGTGAATAGGGATGTGATCGAACATTGATGGTTGAAGAGAGGGCAAAGGGGCAAAGGTTAAGTGGATAGAGGGCTTCGATGAATATGTTGTATGGCACCAGGGGCACACGGCAGGTGAAGGGGTGGAGAAAGGTGGAGAAGGGTGAACTGGGTTGTGGGCATATGTCGAATGGTGCAATGGGTGTGTGCATTGAGGCACGAAAAGGCTCTCACGAAGAAGTTGAAAGGGTGACTCGTCCACAATGCAGACACCCGCAGCACCAGTGGCCACCGCCACTTGACGTAATCCTTCTGTAACAGCCCCGCCAGCACCCACACTCCACTCAACAGAACCCCGTACCCCCATTTCCCCAAGCCCCCTGCCCTCCATTCTACTTACGAGGAACGACGTGTGTGAAGAGGTGAAGCGCCACCTCCCTGATCTTTTGCGACTCATCCACGAGGCACAGCAGCACGCGCAGCACCAGCGCCCCCCGCCACTTGACGTAGTCCCTCTGCAGCAGCCCCGCCAGCAGCACGAGCGTCTGCCGCCTCACGAGCTCGCAGGGGTCGCGCAGGCAGGCAGAGATGGCGGGCACGTGGGGGTCGACTAGGGCGGTTGTAGCGGACGCAGAGGTCTGTGAGAATGATGACCAGGTTGTTGCGCACTGAGGGAAGTGGGCTTCGTTTCAACTCCTGTCGGGTTTGGGAATAAGGAGGATTACGATTAGCAGGCAGGCAGAGATGGCGGGCACGTGGGGGTCGACGAGGGCCGTGTAGCGCACACAGAGGTCCGTGAGAATGATGACCAGGTTGTTGCGCACTGAGGGGAGAGGACTCTGTTGCAGCTCCTGTTGGGGGGAGTTAGGAGGGTTGGGAGGGGGTTAGCAGGCAGGCAGAGATGCAGGGCACATGCGAGTCCACGAGGGTCGTGCAGCGGCAAGAGTGGGTAACAATGCTTTCCTGGACGACGAGGGGCACGCATGTCTTGGCCAGTGAGAAGCGACCAGAGAGAAGCGACCCAGAGCCAGCAGAGTGGTTTATAGAACTCTTTAAAACACGCTACAAGCAGCAAAGGATGGGGGTTGGTGCTTGCCTGGACGAAGAGCGGCACGCAGGTCTTGGCCAGTGCATGGTCCACTAGAGCGAAGCGACCCAGAGCCAGCCACCCATGCGCCAACACTGGCACTCGCACCCCTGCTGCTGCCACTGCTGCTGCTGCTGTTGCTGCTGCTGCTGCTGCTGCAGTCCCAGGGTTGGTTTCAGCGGCAGCAGCAGCACTGGGTACCGGTGGAGTCGCTGAGGAATTGGAGTTCCCCAGAAGCAGCTCCAGAAGGCACTGAAAAGCTTCTTTCAGCGCGCACTGCAGCAACACGAGCTGCTCACACTCACTCGCTCCCCTTCTGCTGGCCCCACTTCTTCCCTTGCTCTTCCCGCTCCCCTCTTGCCTCCCCCCACCAGCAACAGCAGCTCTTTCAACACCAGCCACAGCTGCAGCAGCAGGATGAGCAGTGGCATTCCCGACAGCAGTGGCAGCCGCAGAAGTGGCTGCACTCGCAGCACCAGCCGCAGCAGCAGCAGCGAGTGTCTCTGCGAGTTCCCCAGCAATGAGTGCCAGCTGGCCGCACACAAACACTGCACACTCCACCCTCTGCCCCCACGGCTGCCCGTCTACGCCCTCCTCCAACTCCTCCTGCTGCTCCTGCTGTTGCTCCTTCTCCTTCGCCTCCTCCTCTGCCTGCCCCTCCTGCTCCTCCCGCTCCTCCTCTCCTCGCTGCTGCTGCTGCGCCCTCACTTCCTCCCTGTTCTGCCCAGGGCTCCCCTGCCGGCTGCTACCTGCTTTGAGCTGTGATCGCACGATCCGTGTGGCTTGCTGGCACAGCTCCAGACACCAGGCAGCGATGGTGGCTTCTGGTGATTCGCTCACACAAGGCGCTGCTGCTTCAGCTGCCATACCACTTCCCCTGACAGAAATGCTGCTGTCGCTTCTGTTGTTTCTACTACTGTTGCCACTGTTGCTGCTGTTTCTGCCACTGCCTCTGCTGCTGCTCCTGCTGCCGGTGGCTGCATGTCGATTGAGAGTGGCAAGCGCGACCATGTGCACCCCAGCCTGGTTGCAAGGGAAACAAACAACGGGGGCAAATAAGTTGAGTTGAAGAACACAAAAATGTGAACTCATCCCACTTTACAGTCTTGCCAGATGTGCGAAAGTATTCCGCTAGCTTACAGTCTTGCCAGTCCTTACCAGATTTGAGAGGGCACCGCTCGAGCACAGCAAAGGGCTGGCGTGGCTAAGGCTTGGATCTCGGCTAAGTGAACCCAAAAACGAGTAAGCAGGTGTAGCCTGGGGCAACCAGCTTGCTTCCACATGCTCCACAACAGGACAAACCGGACCACTTGCACAGCCTCACCTCGTCTGGGGACAGCTGGAAGCTGCGCAGGTTGTGCAGCAGCCCTGCCGCCACGTCAGCAGCTTTCTCCCCTGGAATCCGTGCAGCAACATTGCAGAGCGCTTTGAGCACATGCACCTGCGCCTCTCTCTCCTGCCCGTCCAACACTTCTGCCTCCTTTTCCTGCCCGTCCAGAACCCCTGCTTCTCTCCCCTGCCCGCCCATGACCCTGGAATCAGAACCTGGAGTTGCACACTCAGCAGCATCGTGACCATCAGCAAGAGCAGCGGAGACTGACTCGGGACGAGCAGCTCTGGTTCCCTGCTGCTTCCTGCCGTCCCTCCATCTGGAGATCAGGAACTCCCATCTGACCCCCTGCGGTGAGAAGGACGTGACTTCCAGTAGTAACAGCCACGCGCCCCTCACTACCCACCTCCACACACTGCTGGGGCCCTTCACATTGGCTGTCAATACTACTGAATTCCCCTTTCCAGTCGGCTGCTTCTGCTGCTGCTGAGCGTTCTGCTGCTGCTGCTGCTGCTGCTGCTTCTGCTGCGCGTTCTGCCACCCCTCTGCTGCTTCAATCACCGCCTGCAGCCCTTCCACGAGCCTTGCATTCAGCGCGTTTCGCCTTGCCAGAACCGCACATGCGCGGTGCAGCAGCGGCACCACCGACGAGTTCCCTTGACCAACCGCCATCAGCCACGCCACTACACTTCTCACTGACCCTTCAGCTACTATTGGTGCTCCTGCTTCTCCTGCTGCTGCATTTCCTCCTGCTGCTCCAGCACCCTCCACCCCAGCAGCCCGCCCACACACCTCACACACTCCGTCCCCCTCACAGAGCACAGGAGCAGGAGGCACCCCCCTCCTCCCCACACACACGTGCAGCGGCCTCTCCTTGCACAGACTCATCCTCGAAGCAGCAGAGGGGCGGGGAGACGCAGAGATTAGGGCGAGGGGTTGGAGGAGCAGGGAGGAGAGGAGGTCGAGCGCCTGGTCTTGCACAGTGGCCTCGTTGTCTAGGATGAGAACGAGCGCACACTGCAGCCACTTGGATCGCAACCACACGTGGCCTGGGTTGGACATGGTCAACTGGGAAGACAAAGGGGGTTGGGAATGGATGGGAAGGGAAGGAGGAAGGAGGAGAGGTAAGGAGGCGAGGAGGTCTAGCGCCTGGTCTTGCACAGTGGCCTCGTTGTCGAGAATGAGAACGAGCGCGCACTGCAACCACTTGGATCGCAACCACACATGGCCTGGGTTTGCCATGGTCAACTGAGAGGACACAGGGGGCACGAAAGGAGAAGGGAATGGAAGGGAAGGGAACGACGACAAGGAGAGGAGGAGATGAGACGGCGAGCAACCCGGCCCTCACACACTGCATAACGAGGAGTTCAAAGGTGCGAGACAAACGCTGAATGATCCCAGTACCTAGTGCCCTATGGTGGCCTACGGTGACTGTACCTTGGACAGCGCAGTGCGAGCCACTCTCCACACACTGAGCAGCGAGTCGGAGCACAGGTCTTTCACAGCCTTAACTAGATCCTCTCTCATTAACTGGTGGTCTATGGTGCCCTGTATTGATCATACCTTGGACAATGCCGTGAGAGCCACCCTCCTGACACTCAGCAGCGAGTCAGAGCACAGCTCCCCAATGGCCCCTACTCGCTCCTCTCTCAGTAACTGGTGGCCTACGGTGATCGTACCTTGGACAGCGCTGTGAGAGCTACCCTCCGGACGCTCAGCAGGGAGTCAGAGCACAGCTCCCCAATGGCATCCACCAGCTCCTCCCTCAGCGGGAGCTTCGACAGCCCCACTATCTCCTCCAGAGCCCCCACCGCCGCCTTGCGCACCAGCCCCTTCTCGTCCTCCAAACGACTCCGCACCATGCCCAACACCTCCTCCACGCTCAGAACCGACCCACCTGCCCCAGCTCCCAATGCTACTCCAGGCTCCGTTTGCCCACTCAGCCCGGACCCACCACCCACACTGGCGCCAGGCTCGGCTTGGGCAGGAGCATGGGCGTGAGCATGACCCGCAAGTACAGCGTCCAGGAGCGAGGGGCGTCCTTTCAGAATCCGAAGAGTCGCAGTGAGCGCCACGAGCGCTCGGGCGCGCACAGTGGGACTGACGTCTGAGGCCCTACGGAATATGAGCTCCAAACAGCCGCCAACACGGTCAATGATAACGGCTCTGACGCTTCCACTCCCACAGCTATCCCCAGCCTCTCTGCTGCCGTTTCCACTCTCCCTACCAGACTGAGAATCTCCTTGTGAAGCTGACCCCTGACTCAGACTCACTTCATCCCCTTTGTCCCCCTCTTCATCTCCCCCTTCCCCCCCAGCCCCTGCCCCCGCTTCCCCACCAGCGGCCTCCTCCGCTCCCCTCCCAATCAACGCATCCCCCCCTTTCCCATCACAACTCCCACCCGCACCACCCTCTTCCCCAACTCCCGACCCCATGCCCCCTTTCTCCCCTTCCCCTCTCCCCCACGTGTGAGCCATCCGTTCAACCAGAGCAGCACTCAAGTCCACAGCCACCACTCTCACGGCTGCTCTATCAACCCTCGCCAGCTTCCCCACGAAAAGGAAAAAACCCTCCCTTTCCTTCCTCCCCACCGTTTCGTACACCTTCATAACCGCTTCCACCGCTGCCGCCCTCCCTTCCGCTCTCTCCGGTGCATTCAGGCACAGATGCCGCATCAGTGACTCAACCGCAGGGATACACTCCTTTGGCGCTTTCGTAAGAATATCGGATGTGACAAAATCGAGGGCGCGGGACCGGAGCACCGAGGGGGGGACCAGGCTCGGAGCTTTCGAGCTGTTGCTACTGGTGGCGGTGACGTCAGCGTGCGTCATGAGGATGTGCGGGCCAAAGGCCATGAGGATATGAGCGGCTGTTTCAAGCGGTTTGCCATGCTGCGGGTCCGTTAACTGAAGGTAGAGGGGAGTGGATGGACACGGGACGGCAGCAAACCAACTTCAGAAATAACAGGGCAACAATGACACACGAATACGCCTGGAAAGGAGAGAGTCATCCTGGCTGGATTAACTTACTGTAGCACTGATGCGAATATACCTGGAGTAGCATATGGTACGCTTGCGTCACAATTGAGAATTCACACAAGTGATACAAGCATGAATAACTTACTACAGCACTCGTACGGATTTACCTTGAGAAGCATACGGTACGGAAGTTTCCAGGCCTCCACGGTCCGACCTCCGCCCACTGAAACCCTCGTCCGATCCGCACCGGCGTAGCCCTTCCTGCCTCCCTCCACCCGCTGCTGATCTTCTAGGGAAAACCGCGTGGCCTCCACGAGCATTCCCAGCAGGGACTTACGTGTCTCGTTCTGATTCGCCAGTTTCAGGACCTCGAGTGCTTGGGAAAGGTAGCCCAGGACAGACAGCAGAGTGACGCCTAGCCTGCTCCGAGTCTCGTCGCCACCCGGCTGGTTACCATCTTCGTCCATCATGTCACCCGTCTCGTCGTCCTCGTCGCTTCTCAACGGCGACTTTCGATGCTTATTTGTGCCCTTTCCTTTTCCACGGTTCTTCTTCTTCCCACCGTCAATCTTCGGTGTATAAGCGTCTACACTCGCAGAACCGGAAATTCCTGTTATGACCTGTCGAAGAGCCTGTACCATTGTGCTAAAAGTGAGCGGATTGAAAACGCTATAAACGGGGCAGTTGGGCAGAAGAAACAGGTTGAGGAAAACCGCAGCGGCTGTGAGCCTGACGACGGGAGGCTTCTGAGAAGATTCCATCGTGATGCGGAGAGATTCGACGACGGAGGAGGTAGAGACCCCAGTTGCTGCGAGCGACTCCCAGATCTGCGAACGGAAAAACGAGAAAAGAGATTCTTAGTCGACAAAAAAATCGTCTCATCCCCGGCGGTAGGGACCCCAGTTGCTGCAAGAGACTCCCAGATCTGCGAGCGGAAAATTAGAGAAATGGTGGGACATCGGCTTTACAGTCTCGCGTGTCTGACACGGGAAATAAAAACACTGACAAATAAGATCGAGATTCTGGCAAATAACCCGAACATTTGCAAGGAAAGCTTCAACACAAGTCTAACGCGGAATGAATGTGAGACGACGAAAGTCGACGAGAGGAGACAACTAGATTCGGAACAAAGAGCTGCATAAATACACAGCGACGACAAAAAACTTCAGGGGTGAACAAGCATGCGAAGAGGAGAAGGAGAGAGGTGTGTCCTGCGAGAGAGAGTAAGGCGAACCTCTTGCTCCTGCTCGTCGTGCGTGTAGGACAGCATGTATTGAAGGAGGTTCTCCATTTCTGCGAGAGTCAGCGGCTCTTGACTGACGGGCCTCTCGCCAGGAACGGATACGTCGCCAGGACTCCTCGCCATGGCGTGCTCGAGCTCGGAAGTCCGCGAATTCATAGCCAGTGACGCCTTAGACTTGAGATGTCAAACAGATGTCAGGACTCTAAACCTTGTGAAGGTTGCGAGTAGCTCCTAGTGTTAAATTGATGAATTCTGACCCTTAGCACCAGAGCAACCATGAAAATTGACAATTGCCAGTTTTTGCATTGCAGGTCAGCTTTGCGGGTTCATCATACGATACGAGATGGCTTGCGGTTTCACACAGTAGTTGTGGAGAACGCAGTATCAGTCAACGCACCAGAAGCCATGAGAAGCATGATCGCTCCGATTCAGAAATCCTAACTGGTTTCTAAACTCCTGCTCCTCCCCCTTAAAGCCCGAGTCCCAAATTGCGGGCCGCGCGGGTCAAGCTTTTAAAACTTGACGAACTAGTGTTTTCAAGGTTTGAAGAAAAGCGTGCCTGCAATTTGGGACTTTTGGGAACTGAACCAACCCCCAGGGCGAAATACGAGGGCGGGCTGGGTTTGGCGAAAAAAACGAAAAAAGCGAAATCGGAATCTTTCGCCAAAACCCTCACCACAAAAACCCCCTCGCGTCAACCTTTTAAAACTTGTGCAATTTGGGCTGCCGGCTTTAAGTGAAATTGAGCCTTGCCTTGGGAATTTACTGGTGGAAGTTCCGTCTGAGCAGCGTAGATGGTTTGGGGGGCTCCTGCCTTGAGAATTCACATTTTTGCTCAACGCAGAGTGACAGCCATGTCCCGGAACCGAAGTGTAAACTCTCTGTACCGTTCAGTACGCGTAAGGCACCGTCCTAATGTCCTCGCGTCGCGTGTCAGCTTCATGTCAGGGCTCGTCAGTTCAAATTTCCCGCCAGCCTTCTGGCTTTGGTCAGGAAGTCTCCTGACAGTAGTGTTTGTAAGTACATTCAATTCACTATACCGTCTGCTCCGCTTACAAACACTACTCCATAAAACTTTAAATTAAAAATTGACCTATTCTTTCCCAGGCCCATTGCAGCTATACTATCATCTCCCCAAATATTGAGAAAAAATGCATGCAAATAACACTTTCCAATTTTGAATTTCATCATGTTTCCCACATGAACATCATTCCTGACCATAACCACTATTTCCAAGGCCTACAAAAGCAGCAGGGGCAATACCGTAATCTCCCGGATACAGTACCCCCCCGCGGAGAAGACCCCGGGTCCTCTTTCCGGACCAAGGGTCTTTTATTCCGACCTGTTCTCGTGAGGACCCCCCTTTTTTAAATATATATTTTAAGACCCCCCTCCTTCGTCAAATTTTCAAATTAATTCTTAACGAATCTGGGGGGTTGGTGATGCACGCGAGACAGTTTCGTGTCGAATCCAGTCAGGATTCGATTTTGCGTGGATTTTACTGTTGAGATTCGAATCCGCGTCAGGGGAAGAATTCAACACCCTCAGTAGAAGCTTGACTTTCCAGTGCTATGAGTGAATACATTGTGCTCTATGAATTCTTAATGTGTTCAGGGGTCTATGCCCCTTGGTATTGTTCACCTAATCATTATTCACAACATTTCTGATAAGACCCCCGGGTCCTATATACGGGAGATTACGGTACATCCTTGCTGCGCACATAAGCACATCTGATGCAATGAAAGCTGAAGGGTGAAGCAAATGGACAGCTTGTAACATTGATGCCAGAGTAACTTTTATGCAATGCCGCGTCGATGCGGGATGGCGCGTTGCAGCATGGATGGATGATGCCGGATGGAGTTGATGCAGGATGGCGTGTTGATGCAGGATGGCGTGTTGATGCAGGATGGCGTGTTGATGCAGGATGGCGTGTTGATGCAGGATGGCGTGTTGATGCAGGATGGCGTGTTGATGCAGGATGGCGTGTTGATGCAGGATGGCGTGTTGATGCAGGATGGCGTGTTGATGCAGGATGGCGTGTTGATGCAGGATGGCGTGTTGATGCAGGATGGCGTGTTGATGCAGGATGGCGTGTTGATGCAGGATGGCGTGTTGATGCAGGATGGCGTGTTGATGCAGGATGGCGTGTTGATGCAGGATGGCGTGTTGATGCAGGATGGCGTGTTGATGCAGGATGGCGTGTTGATGCAGGATGGCGTGTTGATGCAGGATGGCGTGTTGATGCGGATGGCGTGTTGATGCGGATGGCGTGTTGATGCAGATTGCACGTTGATGCAGATTGCACATGCACCCCTATGTCACAATCCATGTCCATACCCCACACAATCACACCCACATGCCCCACACACATGCTTCCACATGCCCACACACACACGCACACCATATCCTCACACACACGCACGCACACACACACACACACACACACACCCACACGCACACCCACACACCCATACACACACCCACCACCCCACCAACATGCACACCCATATACAGACTACACATGCCACCACCACACATCCTACCCAACACATGCAGCATAGCAGCCTTGTCAGTTGAAACTTCCTTCCTCACATATTAATTTCTTCATTGCTCTGCACAACAGCATGGCCAACAAACAGAGGAGAACATGAGCAGCTGAAGAAGAGAAACAGAAAATTACAATATCTACAAATCCACACACTCACCGCTTGCTTGCACCACGAAACACCAGGTCGCAGCATGCCCCGTGATGCTCCTCAACTCGACCCGCTTTTCTCCACACTCCCTCCTCACCCCATCTCCCCTCCACTCTCCCTCCTTTCCCACCAGCAGACGACTAGCAGAAACGACCACTTCCAAAAGATAAGCTAACCAAACACTATATCACCAACCACTAGGCAAGGACCATAGATTGTAAGCAGCAAAAACATTAAAAAATACGGTGAAAAGAATCAAAGAAAAGGAGGGCAAAAAACGGACGTAGGGGCATAGGAACAATAACATTCAGAGTGTAATTGATTGGTTGTAACGGACTCAGGGTGCTGCCTTGAGATGCCACGTCAGCCTGCTGGGAAAGAAGGCCAAGGCTGTACGGACTACAAGCCAAGACTCCATCCAGAGGGACTGTCAACAATGTGGCCTACTGTGCACCCATGTGCCTAGGGGAGATCCCCCACATGAGAGGGTGCTCCCAACAATTACCCGCTAAAATGCGGGTGAATTGCGCACATGGGTCACAACTCAAGAGCAGTGACTCATCATTGTCCAGAAAGGGATAGGGACACTTGGAGGGATGCGTGGGAGGAATAGTGCCGTGCTTGAGTGGATTGTGTTCGCGCCGTGCTTGAGTGTGATTGTGAGGGGCTTGAGCGGAGGTGGTTTGATGGTGCAGGACTTGCAGATGGGAGGAAGACGTGCACAGCAGCAGGCGGATGAAGTAACCAAGAGAAGATTGTACGGGGTTTGAGTGGAGAAGATTGATGGTGCAGATGGATAAGAAGATTGAAGGAAGCGGTTGATTCAGGAAGGATGGGAGGGTGGAAGCAGGTGGAAGTATGGCACCATTGCAAAGGTGAGCTGATAATGTGGTGAAGTTGAATGACGATGCAGTAGTTAAGGAGCAGTGGGAATAGGTGCGATGTAATTGTTGCTGGATAAGCAGATGACAGCAGTGCTTGGTTCAGAAAAAAGATAATGGGTGGATGAGGTGGAAGCATGGCATGATGGAAATTTCCAGCTTCAAGTAAAATGGCGATGCAGGAGAGTGAGATCATGTAACTGGGAACGGGAAGACGGGCTCAAGCAGCGGGATAAGGAGCAGGGCGGCTTGATGAAATGTAGAGGGTGGAATGATGATGCAGGAGGCAGCGAGTTGGAGTAGTTGCGGAGATAAGATGGGCTCAAGCAGTGGGATAAGGAGCAAGCCAATCCATAGATGAGGACAGCTTGTTGAGTGGATGAAAGGGAGGGCGGAATGATGGTGCAAGAGGCAGTGAGATTGGGTACAAGGAGAGATAAGATGGGCTCAAGCAGTGGGATACGAGGCAATAACCCGTTGATGAGGACAACTTGATGAGTAGATGAAAGGTAGAGGGCGGAATGATGATGCAGGAAGCAGTGTACAGTAGTCAGTAGGATGGGAACGATCAGTCCAAAGCAGAATGAAGCAGTAGTATAGGATTAAGAGACTGGCATTGAGAAGATTGAAAAGATTGAAGGCTGTGGTTGTTGATTCAAACAGGATGGGAGGCGATGATAGGTCTAGTATGTAGCCATGAAGAATACACGATTGTCAATATGAAGGATTGATGTCCAAGTGGTGGTAGATATCAATGATGAATATCAGTGATTGGATTACAGAAAAACGAGAAGTACTGAGGTGATTGGAAGATTGGGTGGTTATAAGCGTGACGGCAGAAGGTGTATGGAGAATGGAAACATGGAGAACCGAAGTATGAAACGATGCAGAATGAGACGATTTGGAGGAGGATTGAATCACCGACGATTGAACGATGACCAACACAAACGATGTACGGAAGGACGAGTCAATGAAGATTGATGAGACGTTAGGAAAACTAAGATTGGACACTGAGTAGTAGTAAACGGATCAGCTGAGGCTGGAGGAGTTTGGATCAGGTTGAAAGTAAGAAGTGTCATCAGAGAGTTCCATCATTGTGCCATCAGAAATAATGAGACGTGTCAATTCAGTCGTGAAAATGATTGTCGTGAAAATAATTGTTGTAAAAATGGTATCAGGACGAATTCAGGTAGAATTTCGAAAGGTCAGAGTAAAAAAAGGCTTTGAAGTCAAGTAGAAAGGCCACATTTGGAAGGTTGGCTTAATAAGAGGTTGATAATGGGCTCAGATCAATTACCGGCTGTTTGGACTTGCAATTTTTGATAGGATAATGTGGCTGAGAATGAGAGGGTTATTGGCTGGTAGAATGAGCGAGTATGCAGATGAGATGATACGGTTCGTCTGAAGAGCATGAACTGATGAGATGATGTGGTGAGGTGAAACTGACTGATTGAAAAGGTTTGCGGGAGAAGCATTGCAGCTGAGGTGTGCAGATGTGGATATGGATGGACGAAACCAGAATGGAAAATTTGCAGATGCGAAGACCAAAATCAGCAGTCAGAGGGACCAGCAGGTGAAAGAAAGCAGCAGAAGCCAAAAAACGTGTAATGGTTAGGGTAACAGGAGGGACAAGATGTGGATGGGTTTTAGGTAAGAGCCACAGCCATTGAAAGGCTTAGGGTAAAACAGGGTCCAAAGGCGTTGAAAGGTTTGGGTAACACAGGTGTCGAAGTCGTTGAAAGGTTTTGGGTAACACTGGAAGGTTTTGGGTAACACAGGGGTCGAAGCCATTGCAGAAGCAGACGGGACAGAAGGTGCTAAAGCAGAACAGCAGCTACACAGCCATCGGGGCAGCAGCTTCACAGCCATCAATCAGTCATCAGCTTGCCTGGTTTTTTCTTCAGAGAATCAACCGCCAACCATTAGTCCGGATGTTGCATCAGCTCCTGTGGTGTTAAGGAAAGGATACGGGACCACGAACTACCAGCCACGAGCCACCAGCACCAGCACCAGCCAACAGCCACCAGCAGCCAACGTGCAGAAGCTACACAGCTTTACTCATCAGCTTGCCTGGTATGGTCTTGAATGAATCAACCGCCAGTTGCCAAGCGTTATTAGTCCAGATGTTGCATCAGCTCCTGAGACCACGAGCCACCAGACAAAGGCCCCGAACCACCGGCCACCAGCCACACCAGCCACCAAAAGCAGCCACTACTACAACCCAGCAGAAGGAGCAAAACGCGCAGCAGGTACCTCAGAACGCACAGCAGCTACACAGGGTCACCCATCAGCTTGCCTGGCTTTGTCTTCCATAAACCCACCACCACCATCCGGATGTTGCACCAGTTCCTGGGGTTGTTGAAAAGGACACGAAACACCAGCACCAGCTACCAACAACCACAACCCAGCAGAAGAAGGAACAGCACCAAGGCAGCAACACACAAGCAGAGGCGAACAGCAGCGTCACTCATCAGCTTGCCTTCGTCTGCTTCTGTCTTGCATCAGCCCACCACGCTATCGAACCCCAGCCAATTCCATCAGCTCCTGTAGTTTGAAGAAAGTATGGGAAAACGAGCAACAGCACCAGCCACGCAGCAGCAGGAACAGCAGCAATGAAGAGCAGAGACACACCACAGCAGCACCGCTTCAACATCAACTGGTCTGACTCACAGCTTCCCCCTTCAGCAGACCCCCCCCTTCAGCAGACCCCCCCCTTCAGCATACCCCAACACGACGAGATACACCACCACGGAGAGATGAAACCTAGCAACTGCCACCACCCCCCCCCCCCTCTCCCCGACCACCACCCAGCCAACCACCGCCCGCCATCTACCTCTGACGTCAGCACAGTAACCTTCTGCGCCAACCTCTTCATCAACCCAACCATGCGCCCACGAGCAGAAACCTCAAGAACCAGGAACAACAGCACCTGTACACCTGAATACTTATGAGTAGGCTCAAAAACCAAGAAACAGCCCCAAATTGCACCCTGACGGAACACTCACGGATCCTCCCACATCAGCCGACCACAAATTAAGCAGAATCGCTCTTCCTTTGCTCTCACCCTCACCAGTCCAACCCAGACATCTCCGCTTCCTCCACCACCCACTCATTTCTACCTCCACTCCTCACGTCATCTGTCCAACACATTTCCGAAGCTGAATCAGCTACCACTACTTCACTCCACACGCGACAGCTACTGCCCCATTATCAGCATTTCCACCTAGTACCATCACAACTACCTGTCACAACACCCGCCGCCTCCTGGCTCCCTCCATCGCACATCCCCAACTGGACCTCTCCATGTCTTCGCACACGCCCCATCACTATGCCTCACTCTCCGGAAGAAAGCTTGCCCGCCTATCATGACAGTCAACCACTTTTACACCCGCAGGCCATTTGTCCCGCCAGACACCTCCTCCAGACTTTCTCCGCCAGACCTCCTTCTGGCTAACTCCCCTCTCCATCCCAATCGCTCGCAATTGCCACACGCCCCCTCGTTCCACTCGCCGAGCACCGCCCTCGACTGTCCCTCAGACCCTTTGTCCCAACGTTCGATGCAGCTTTACAGTACATGCATACCAGCAGACTAGTGTAGACCACCACAACCAAGTCGTGCTTGAACTCAAGCCTCAACCCGCCCTGCCAGCAGTCACCATTCTCCCTCGCGTCACATCGGCATGCACTCCACACCACCCAATGGTCCCCAGCAGCCCAGCGGCCCGCGGTTGCACGTGTAGGCGCGGAAGCCACACGTCCGCCACCCAGTCCGCCTGCCCCCCCTCTCGTCCGCCACCCCGCCCGTCCGCCACCCACTCATCAGCCGTGCGCCCATCCGCGCATGTGTTACCCTCGTCCCTGCAGGGCAAATCGCCTCTGCGCCCAGTGTCCACCCTCCCACGCGTCCCACCAGCTGATCTCTTCATCATGCAGAGGATTGTCAGCAAGTGTCGACCAGTTGCAGACTGTGGTTATCCCAGCACACGTGCAGAACAGCAGACACACATGCCGCACGCCACACCGCAAATAGAAACGTGATGCCCCTGCCCCACCGCGCACCCATCCGCCGGGCGCTCATCCGCACTCGCCCCGAAATCCCTCTCCCATACGTCTCACGCCAGGCCACCATAATACACCCGCTTTGCACGCGTCCGCCGTGCGCCCATCAGCGCTCGCCCCAAGTCCCGTATCCCTCTCCCATGCGTCCCACGAGCTCACCACTTCAACCTGCAGAATCTGGGGGTTTCCTGAGTGTCAACCAGTTGCAGCCTGTGCTTGTCCCAGCAGCAGTGCAGACACATCCGACACACACGCCCCATGCAATTCCGCCAATACACCCGCCTTGCACCTGCCCACCGCGCACCCGTCTGCTGCATGCTCATCCGCGCTTGCGTCCATCCGCTGTGCGCCCATCCATAATGCCCCATCCGTGTCATGCGCCCATCCACGCCATGCGCCCATCCGCGTCATGCGCCCCACCCGCGCGCTCGCCACTGGAGCCCGCAGTAGTGCAACAGACAAGACGCCAATACATTGTCCTGCACATGCAGACAACAGCAGACCATCCCGCCCGCGTTCGCCCAGCACCAGCCATCACCCACCAGTCGCGCGCCATGCGCCCACCGACCTCCCCCACATCCTGCGGTGTTGCAGCAGGCCAGATGCCAAGACATGCAGCCATGCAGACGAGCATCCGCCACGCCGTGCAGACGTGCATGGCACTCCAACCCACACCCAGCGAACCTCTCTCCTCAGAAACCTGCGAAGGGAGGGAGATTGGGTAGGCGTCTCCCGTTGCAGCCCGCAGTTGTCCAGAAGACGTGCAGACAGAAGCCACTCGCCACTCCATCCCGCTCGCGTTCACTCTCGCCCACGTTTCCCAGCCCACACAACCGCTTTCCACCCGCACGCCCCCGCGCTTAAGCCGTGGCAACAGCAGAAACAAAACCCGCGCCTCACACTTCCTTCTCACAACCTGCAAAGAAAAGGGGATTGGGTGGGTGTCTCCCGTTGCAGCCCGCAGTTGTCCAGCTGTCTTGCAAACAGAAGCCACTCGCCACTCCATCCCCGCTCGCGCTCGCGTCCGGCCGAATTTCCGTCCGCACACCCGCTCGTCACCCGCACGCCCCCGCGCGTGCATCCTCAACTCGACTTCCCACGTGCTCGCGTTCGCATTCGCCCGCTCTTTCATCCGCGCAACCAGTCGTCCCGCGCACGCCCCCGCGCGCTCATCCCCATGTGTCCTCCCATCGCAGTCAAGCAGGCAGCAGACACACGCGCGTCCCTCTCGCGTTGTTCGCCATCCACCCACCGCTCTTCACTTCCTTCTCGCTTCCTTCTCACGACCTGCAAGAAATAGGGGACTGGTGGGTGTCTCCCGCTGACGCCCGCGGTTGTTCCAGCAGACGTGTAGACAGCAGACACACACGCACGACAGCAGACGCGCGCCACTCAAATACCGCTCTCGTCGCCCCACTCGCTCGCCGCTCGTGCCCGTGCGTCTTTATCCGAAGCACCTGTAAGTGTTCCTTCATCCTGCATGATAAGGGGTGGTTGATAAATTTGTCCCGTTGCAGCCTGTGGTTGTGGTTGTGGTTGTCCCAGCAGACACATGCACGCGCGCCACTCTAGGCTCGTTTCCTCCTCTTGTCCCGTTAGTTCGCCAGCCTCGCTCTGCACCTCCCTTACACTTCGCACGCGTCTTCCCATCAGCGCCCGCGGTTGTCCCTGCAGACGCGCAGACGGCAGACGCGCGCCACTCGATACCGCTCCTCACCCCACTCGATTGCCCCCCATGCTCGTGCGTCTTCTCCAAAGCTTTTTCGAATGCGCCTGATTGTTGCTAGACCTGCAAAAGGGGGGGGATTGGTGGGTGTCTCTGTTGCAGCCTGTGGTTGTCCCAGCAGACGTGTGACCAGCAGGCACACACGCGCACGTCCCCTGCACCCGCCCGCATGCTCTGGTTGTCACGCTCACTCATTTTCCTTCTTCATTTCCCTTCACCTCCCCAAGCGTCTTCCCATCAGCGCCAGCGTTTGTCCCAGCAGACGTGCAGACAGCAGACGCGCAAACACTCTCTACGACCGCTCGTCGCCCCACGAGCGTTCACTCCTCGAGCCCACACCCTCGTGTCTTCCCATCAGCGCCTGGTTACTCCTCGCGTGGCTTCACAGACGTGCAGACACGCACAATGCTACTCCTCTCCTTAACATACGCCCTGTTGGAAAGCCCTTCTGCCTGTACTTCAAAAACCTGCAACACAGAAGGGGACTGGTGGGTGTGTCTTCTTCTGCAGCCCGCGGTTGTTTCAGCAGACGTGCAGCCAGCAGACACACGATTACCTCGCCCCACGCGCGTTCACCCATCGAGCCCGCAGCCTCGTGTCTTCCCATCAGCGTCCGCGGCTGTTCGACGGACGTGCAGACAGCAGACACGCCACTCCACAGATCGACCGCATTACCCTCCACCTGCACACAAGGGGCATGGCGAGTGTCTCCTCCTGCCGCCTGTGGTTGTCCCAGCAGACGTGCAGCCAGCAGACACGCGCCACTCGCTCCCGCTCGCGTTCGCGTTTACCCAGCACCCGTTCTTTCTCCCTCGCGTTTGCCAGCACCCGCTTGTTTCTGCCCGAGATCCCCGATTTGACTCCCCAGGTCGACTCGCATGTGCTCGTTTCAGCTCAAGCTGTTGTCCCGTCAGAAGCGCCAACAACAGAAGACTTGTCTCAGTAGCGCAGCCTACCCTCTTCCCAGCACGCTCTCTCGCCTGCCCTGGACGCACAGAATGGCACGGAGCAACACACAACAGCGGCAAAACCCAACCACCTCCCTATCACACTAACAGCTACAGTTCGAGAGGGCAGATGCACGACGAGGACTAGAACATGCAGGAACTACAATCTGATCTATAAGCAACGAACGAACACTTCAGTTGAGCAGACTCGCTGTGGAGTAGACGGCAGCGCAGAAGCAGAGAAGATGAAGGTGACGGGTAGACGAGTAAACAGTCGACGGCAGAGCAGAAGCAGAGATGTACAGACAGCGAGCGGAGAGACGCATGAGTTCAGCACGAGCAGCAGGCAGCAGCACGAGGAGAGGCACAAGGCAGGCGCAGTTAAAAATGGCGCAGGGGAGGGCGAGGCAGAGACGCGCGGCAGAAATCGCAGCCTGGACGGGGGGGATGGGGGAGTATGGCTGGCGAGGGGAGAGACGTGCAGAGAACAAAGGTTATGGGGCCAGGGGGCCCCAGGGGAGAGGGGGAAGGGGGGAAGAGGAGGGGAGGGGAGGGAGCAGAGGGGAGCGCCAACCAGGAGAGAGCCAACAAGGCAAGGAAGAGAGGCCAAGAGCACCGACGACTAGAGCACTGCACGTTGGTTAACGGAGGCAGCAGCGATGGATAGGAGAACTAGAGAGCCACACCGCAATAGGAACCTGACGAGGAGTACCAAAGAGGCTGACGAAAAGGGACGGCCAAGGAAGAGGTGGAAGAAGGGGGCCTGTGGGGACGAGAGCAGTGTGGCTTGGAGAGGAAGGGAAACAGACACAGGTTATGGGGCCAGGGGACCCGGGGGGAGGGGGTGGGAGGGGATGGGGAGAAGGGGGACGCCAACGAGGAGGGTAGGAGGACTCGAAGTGACAAGACAACCGAAGAGCAGGGACGATGACACACACTGCATGATGAACGACGGAGGGAGCTGCGATGGAACGAGACAATGACGGGTCAAAAGTGTACTGAAGAACACGGGAGAGCGAATGAGGAGATGAAACACCTGAACGGCTGAGACCGAAACACCTGAAACATCTCCTGACGGTTGAACGAACGATGAGAGGCCCTAGAACGCACCCTGTGGGAACTAGGCAGTGTGGCTACAAGAGGGAGGAAGGAGACAGAAGATTACGGAGCCACGGGGGGCCCCAGGGGGAAAGGAGGGGAGGAGGGACGCCAACCAGCACTACCAGCAGTCGTGTAACGCAAGGAGCGGTGTAGGGTCGAGGTTACAGCTCGAATGGAGTGAGGTAGACAGCAGAGCGAGGATTGGAAAAGCTTATTTTTGCCGGTGCAGAGGGAATTGATAACGTTCGATCACCGATTAGTAGCCTGGCGAAACTGCAGCTGACACGTGCTTAGAACCGTAAGACCCGAGACACCTCGAGTGTTAGACGATACACCAGAGGTGGCAGACGCACCCTGTGGGGACGCAGTGTGGCTAGACGAGGGAGGAAGGAGACATAGGTTACGGGGCCAGGGGGGCCCAGGAGAGAGGGGAGGACAGGGGAACGCCAACTAGAAAAAAACGCGTGTGACGGGAATGGATCCGAAGCTAAGCTGAAACGGAAGGAGCTAGACGCAGCGGGGTAAGGATAAAAAAGGCTTAAACTTTGTAAAACTCTAAATTGCCCAGTCACCGGCTGCGTGGCGCATCTGTGGCTGTGCTTGAAACCGAAAAAACCCGAAACACCTAGACGTTCGACCTCAGGTGCCAGCGCAGGCTGTCGGGAGACACGCAGTGTGGCTACACGAGGGAGGAAGGAGACAGGTTACGGGGCCAGGGGGCCCCAGGGGGGGGGGGGGATGGAGAACGCCAACCAAGAAAAGCGCACGTGTAATGGAATGCGACTGATGCTACAATTGAACGGGAAGGAGCTACACTGACGCAGCGGAGTATTGGGAAAAAAAAAAAAGAAAAGGTTGGGCTTTTCAGGCAGAGAGATTGTTCAGTCACTGATTGCTTGACGCATCTGCGGCTGCACTTGAAACCGACAGACGCGGAACACTTAGCCGGTTAGGACGTTCGACTTCACGTGCCACAGCGCAGCCTGTGGGGGTGAACGCAGTGTGGCTACACGAGGAAGAAAGAAGACACAGGTTACGGGGCCAGGGGGCCCCGGGGGGGAGACAGAGACAGGAGAACGCCAACCAGAAAAAGCTCGCATGTAACGGAATGCGACCGAGGCTACAGCTGAAACGGAAGGAGCTACAGTCACAGCAGGGTAAGAAGAGCAAAGGCTTGTAATCTTCCGTAAAAAGGCTCAATCACTCAAGCAAGTCACCGATTGCTAGGCGAATCAGCGGCTGCCATGTTCTTGAAACCAGAGACCCGAAACATCTAGACGTTTAGAAGATCGACCACAGGTGCCAGAGCACAGCCTGTGGGGGTGAACGCAATGTGGCTACACGAGGGAGGAAGGAGAGAGACACAGGTTACGGGGCCTGGAGGCCCCTGGGGGGGAGGGACAGGGACCAACCAGAAAGAGCGCACACGTAACGAGGGCAAAACGTGCATACAGCTGAAACTCAAACGGGTGGAGCTACACCAATGCAGCAGGGTAAGGAGAGAAAATGCTTGTAAAGGTCAGTGATAAGACTCCATCACCCAATCACCGATTGCTTGGCGGATCTACGTCATACCGAAAGACACAAAACATCTAGAAGGTTAGACGACCAACCACAGGTGCCTGAGCACAGCCTGTGGGGGTGAACGCAGTGAGGCTACACGAGGGAGGAAGGAGAGAGACACAGGTTATGGGGCCGGAGCCCCAGGGGAGGGGGGAGGCGACGGGAAGGGAACGCCAACCAGGAAGAACGCTCGTGTAACACGAGGAAAGCGGGACCGAGGTTTACCGACCAGACGGGAGGTGCTATATTGGACGCATCAGGGAAAGGAATGAACACGGCTCTTTAGAAACTGCAAGTTTAGAGGCTCAATCATTCCATCACCGACTGCTTGGCGATATGCAGATGAGACGTGCTCGCGAGCAACACAATGAAGCCACATCCTGCTGTGCTGCTGGCAGGGCAATCACAGCAAACACGGGACTGCGGAGGGGAGAAAAACACCTTAGACCCCAGAGCCCCCAACGGGGATGGGGGAAGGGGGACGGGGAGGGAGACAGACGAGCGGACAGACACGCCTATACCAAGCGAGGCACTCGGAACTGAACGAGACGTAAGGCAAAAAAAGGCTGAATGAGCACAAGGCTGGTGACTACAATTGACCACACCGTTAAGACGTCCGCAGAGCGCAGTCTGTCTCAAGCGGAGGCGGGCGACTGGGCGAAACGAACTGGTCGCAGGCACCCTGGTGTGCTGCTGGCAGGAACCCAACGGACCAGAGGGGCGAGGAAAGGAGAACTCAAACCCCAGAGCTCCCGAAGGAGGTGGGAAAGGGAGGGGAACGAGGCAAGAGAGCCTGGCATCTAACGAAGGAAAGAACGACAGTCTAATCCGACGCTCTTGACAGTCAGTCCAAAAACGAAACGCAGACTCCAGTCAAGGTGAAAGCACATGGCTTGAACTACCCGATCGTTCCATTAGCGAATTTTTTGTGCCATGCTTCCCGTTAGTCCAGACAACCTGCCCGCGAGTCTGCTGGCACGAAAAGGACTACGGGAACAGAGGAGGAAAGGTGAAACCCCAGAGCCCCTTGCGGGGATGGGGACGAAAGGGATGCAAGACGGCAGGTCCGAAACCTAGAGCGGCGAGGGAAAAAATGGAAATAGTAACACGGTAACGGGCGACCAACTGAAACGTTAAAACTGCGAGATTCGTAGCACTAGCTACCCGATAGTTCCCCCAATTGCTGGCTGAATTGCGAGAACGTCGTCGCAAAGGGACACGACACCACTCAGAGGACGAACGTGCTGTTAGTGGGGAAACCACACCCAAGCACCAAGGCAGACGAAAAATATGAAAGCCCCAGAGCCCCCTCGGGGGGATGGGGTGGGAGGTAGGTGCACCCAGGAGGGAACTGACAAGTAACCATGGTAAGAACACCACCTGTCAGCGGAGTGTGTGAGGAAAAAAAAAAAAGCACACACACACACACCAAAAAGAACTACAGGTGATGGGTCCTTCGTATGTCAGGGATGGTGGATCCAAGCTGGAGCTCCTAACAGGTTACTGAGAGTTAGCGACTTGAAGAATGTCCGAGGACGAATCCTGTCAAGCAGAGGAATAATATTCGCCAGGAAAAGAACACCAAGAAGCACCGCACGTGGCCTTCTCTTCGCTCGTTTCGTGAGTCAGGTGAGTGCAGAACGCGTATCTACAAGCATAGACGAACCACGAGACAACTTCCAGGTTATTTTAAGCCACCATCCAAATCTTGCCTGATCCCGCCTAACTGTTAGCAGCCAAAAGGACGCAAACAAGAATAAACACGCAGAGCAGAAGCACGCAACCACATCCAGTGACTATCTGCGGGAGAGGGAGCATGCCATCTCTAACCGTAGTCGTAATATATACATCGACGTACATCACAGTGTTAACTCACGTTCCATAAGCGAATACATAATATATACAACCTTCCATCAAAAGTTTAGTACGGCGGAACGTACGTCCCACTCAATCAGGCACTTTGCACGGACTCTTCGACGGCAACATCCAAACTGCT